AATCACAGCTTATCTACTGGAGTTCCTTAGGAGGGTGAGGGGGGACAGAGCCCCCATAAAATGAGTCATTGAACTCTCTGTTAAAATGACTGTTAATATTTGTGTACTTTTTTGATATATGACAAAATTGTGTATTTGTGCAAGATGAATTTGTTTTATGATTCCTTGGTTTTTTCCTCTAATGACCCAGCTAACATTTTAGGGCAGAAAGAAAGAGTTTATTGAAAACTAAACTGACAGAAAAAAAGTAGCATAGTGCTAAAGTCTGCATAATTACATTTGAACAAGGTGTCACAGTTTATTATGAGCAATTCTGAGCTGACCGCTTGGTTAAACAGATTTGTGCCAGAAATGCCACATTGGAGATGCTAGTAGAACTAGTAGCTAGTGAGGAACAGTTGCTAAACTGAGCTGCTGTGTGTAATTAAATTCTGCATAGCTAATCTCACCATGGCATCTGGAAGAATGGTCATTTATGAGGACAGTCAGAGATGGTCAGTAGAATGGCTCGTCCAAAGTGAAATCAGACAGTCATAAAAAGCGTTAAACATGCCGTTGACAGAACAGGAAGTGTCATGCTTCGATACATTTCTTTTAAATTAGGCCTACTATATGTGCAATATGTTAGGTGTTGGACCGGCTAACAAAGGCATCTTTGGTGAACTGGTCTTGTGAACTGTTATGAAACAGGGAATTAGAGAAATAAAGTCAAAACGGGATTTATCAATCACATTATCGTAGGGCTGATAATAGTTCCCATAGAATACGTCTATGCGCCGTGCATCATGTTATTACATTGTGTTGATACAATAAGACAAGAGTGGAAGCTCTAATTCTGCTGTCTCTCAGGATTGGGAAAAGCCAGAGACCATCCCTGACCCCGATGCCAAGAAGCCTGACGACTGGGACGTGGACATGGACGGAGAGTGGGAGCCCGCCATGATCAGTAACCCAGAATATAAGGTAAGGAATATACAGACTAAACGATTTGTTCAGCAATGTAAATCATATCTGTCGAGAGAAGAGTAAGGGCAGTGTCAGGGGTAATATCTATCTCATTTTGTCTTTGCAGGGCGAGTGGAAGCCCAAGCAGATCGAAAACCCCGACTACAAGGGAGCCTGGGTCCACCCTGAGATCGACAACCCGGAGTACACTGCTGATGCCAACATGTACAAGTTTGAAAAGATTGCAGTTCTGGGCCTGGATCTGTGGCAGGTAATGACTGTCGCCCCCTCAGAGAGTGTTGTCACAATTAATTATCAAGCCTAAGTATACAAGAAGACTTGTTCGGTCGAAGATAACAGAGACTCCTTGAGTAAACAATACTTATTTGCTTTGTGTCTTTGTTCAGGTGAAATCTGGCACCATCTTTGACAACTTCCTGATTACTGACGACATCAAAGAAGCAGAGGAGTTTGGGAAGGACACCTGGGGAGCTACTAAGGTAGGATGACTTCACTGCTTTAGGAAGAACCTAGTAGTGTTCTAAACAAAACAATATATGCGTTAACGTTTCATCGATTTACTTATGTGCTTAGTTTTCTTTCTTTTTTAAGTAAGAAAATACTGACAAATGCATATAAAACAATTAAACATATTTCTTGCTTGGACCAGACCACTAAAACACTTCTGACCTGAATTATAGTTCGTGTAATGATTGCACTCATTCATATTTAATTACCTCTTCATTCACTTATACCCTCACATTTCTCTGAAGCATGACACAAATTAAATTGCAGCAAAAGCTATTATCTAATTGTATCAGTTTGGTTTTGCTAACCAGCTATAATATAAAAGAATAGCAGGATAACGGCTGACTAGATCTAGCATCGCAAGCTATAGGTGACATATGTATTATGCGGCAGCAGAAAAAGTACAATTTCCAGGAATGGACTACTAAAAGCGCATCCAGATAAATTGTATAAGATTGTATGAAAATATTAGAATACATAATACTTTATGCAATATATGCATTACATGTTAGCCCTCCACATTGACTACAACTACTGCTTAACATTTAAAAATGTTGAATAAAAAAGAATAGCTTAAGAAAAGCCACCCAACTCAGTTGACACAGTGAACTTTAGATTTTATTTTATGATTTTAAAGTAATCAATGTAATTTAAATTGTTCACCTTTTAGTTTAATGTATTGATTATAATTCAAAACTCATAAGCACTTTAGCAAGTTATGGCATGAGATGAAAAATGCTTAATAAGCACCGTCATTTACATGATCCATGTTCGTTGGTCAACATTCAGTGTTTCTGTAAACGGCTGAATGGAGCGTCACTTTAAATGTTGAGAACACAAGGAATTGTGAGACGGCATTATCTGCTTTTTCTTTTGTAAACAATATGCATTTCTTATCTAAAGGGGACCCCACGGGAAGTGTTAAAGGTCCTTTTCTATTATCTAGAAAATGTAAACGTATTTTATGATGTATGTACAAGTTCTTTTAAGTCGTTTCACTCCATTAGGAAGCTAACATGACTATTGGACCGCAACCCAGGAAGCATCTATTCCAGGAGCACTACGTCCTTGATTGGGTGCTTTTGAGTACCTGTTGTTTGTAGCTTGCCTGGTGAAGCACATAATGCAGGTGTTGTTATAGAATCAGGGAAGTCCATGTGCTAGGTAATGACACACCTGTGTTCCCAACGCATCCCAACAACTTGTCTTGTTTTCCCAACAGGGACCAGAGAAGAAGATGAAGGACGAGCAGGAGGACATGGAGACGAAACTGAAGGAGGAGGAAGGGAAGAGCAAGAAGAAAGACACTGGAGACGAAGAGGATGAGGAAGACGGCGAGGAGGAGGAGGACGAGGAAGACGAGGGCGAGCAGAACGAGGAGACGGACGAGGACGCAGGGGTGGAAGAGGAAGACGTCAAAGACAAGGACGAGTTATAGAGGATAGACTCTGGCCTTTCATACAAGCAGCCTTTTATTCAGGTCTGGGGGCGGGGGAGGGGTCAGGTGGGGTCAGGTCAGATTTATTTTTTATTGATTCCCTTGCTGCTTTTTTTTAGCATTCAAATCAGAGAAGGGGTGAGGGTTTACATGTTGTTTTCCAGTTTGTGTCTTCTTTGGTTGAGCAATCGAATGTGATTTACATGGTGTGTGTGTGTGTGTGTGCACTCGGAGCCAATTCACTTTGTTTATTTCCTTTGTCGAGTTGTCTAGTAAATTGAGGGTCTGATGTTTTACGTTCTGCACTTTTATGATGCCTCATTGTTTATTTCTTAAATGACCCCATCATTATTTATTTAATCATTACATTGATTTCCCTAAGTCTCCAAAGCTCTGATTTTGGGCTTACCTGCTTTCTCCATGAGTGTGTGATGTGTGTTTGAGAGTGAGACTGCATTAGATGAGCTGTGATGTGTGCAATCAAAATATTCTCATTGTTCTGAATGACTGTCCTGTGGATGCACACTGTTCAGTTACAGTGAATAAATGAAAGCCCTCTCTACCAGCTCACGCGTGTTTTCAGTGGTAGGGGTCAGTCTCATTTCAGTGTGGTGTGAAGATGATGTTTCATAGATGGTGGCAAACACAATCGGACAGCAAGCATCCACCCTTGTTTTTACTCTGTGTTTTAACATTTTCAGTATCTGTGCAAACATGATACCCACGTTTTGGATGAAAATGTCTTCCCCTATCTTTCCAAACCTCTGATGTATATCTGCAAAAACGTTTTTCCCCAAAAATGTAGAGGCTTTTCTAAATAGGATGAGGCCATGTGAAGGCCCAATACATACAATGTCTTCTTGTGACACCCTTGTCCCATTTTGTATACCAGTATGTAGTATATAGGTAATGGTATTATAACCAGTGGTAGAAAGCAACTAAGTACATTTACTAAAGTAATGTCGTAATTAGTACACATTTTAGGTACTTTCATTTTATACTAGTTTCTACTTGTCTACATTTTGGAAGCAAATATTGTGCTTTTCACTCCTACTTTTATTTTAGATTCAGATTCTGACACAGAGAAACATGTGAAATAGGATTATTTGGTATAGATTAAACTTTCCAAAATTATATTTAGTAACTAAAACCATGAGTTGTTCAACAGAACATTTATTATTGTTTTTTGTTCCAAATATATCACAGTTCCAGCCTCTTAAATGTGGAATATGAATGAATTCCAATTTTTCAATATAAAAATGCCCCTGGTGAGAAAAGAAGAATGGCCCGGTTAAGATGACCCAGGTTAAAATACGATGACACTATTTTATCCAGTACATTTACTCAAGTAACGCACAAAACTAAAGTTTTAGGGTACTTTTAACTTTACTTTATTATTTCCATTTTTAGCTACTTGTACTTCCACTTCACTAGAGGGACATGTACTTTCTTCTTTCATCTTTCTTTCAGTCTTTATTTCGAACAGATTAAAAAATAACAAATGTGAAAAACAGAATACCGTATTGTTATAATACAGTATTTATCCACATTCATGGTAATATTTGTATATTCAACAAAAAAACAAAAAATGTCTTCATATTAATAATAAATCATAACTGCACTACATTTATTTGACCCTTGTAGTTACTTTTAACATAAATACAATTAACACAGTATGATATTAACTACTAATTTACTCAGTACTTTTAGCTCTATATTGACGAATTACAACATTAAAAAACCCTTATGATTTTCTAATAGTAAAAACAGAATAATGTAATATTCTGAAATACAACATATTTATAAGAGGCATTCTGCACAGCGAATAAGCTGTTTTTGATACTTGAGTGGTACATTAGCTGATACTACTTCTCTACATTTAATTAACATGTTCAACACAGGACGTTTACTTGAAATGGAGTATGTTTAGAATGTGGTATTAGTACTTTTACTAAAGTAAAGGATCGGAGTACTTTTTCCACCACTACTACTATTACTGTCTAATTTATCTCCGCTCTCGCGATATTTCCAATAGAATTTGAAGGCGGCAGCGTGTCGTGCCCTGCCTCGGCAGCAGATGGCGTCCTTGCCCCGCCCCCCTCCTTACACGGCTCTGAGACCGCTGAGTCACATACATTAGCCAGAGCCAGATAAATTGATACTGTGCGAAACGAGGGGCTACTCTGGAGAAATTGCCGTTGTGTGTACACTGACTTTGAACCAGCTGCCTCTGACACCGCGTCGCAAGATGCTGATAATAACACTGAAGACCCTCCAACAGCAGACGTTCAAAATAGAAATAGACTCAGAACTGACGGTGAGTAACGGTAGAAGTTAACGGGGCTGAAGTAAACACGGTCAGGCCAGCACTTAGACTGGTATGTTAGCTAATGTAGTGTAACCATAGAGAGTGTAACGCTAACCACGTTAAAGGCTGCTCAACTCTTTAAAGGAGATTACTCGTTTGTTGGTTTTAAAAAGTATCGTCACGTCACTGGGACAAATATGTAGTCAAACAAGTTAGCAAACATGCAGAACCTGAGTTCATGTAAGGTAATGTAGCTAGAAGCTGCCAGGGCAAGGCGGATATTAAGCAAGTGTCCCTTCAAAGTAAAAGTGTAGCATGATTTACAAGAATATCAAAGCACACTTTGTACTCTCTAAAAATAACATTGTAACTGAACTAATGTTTTTTATTTACTCCACAATACAGTCAAATAGTCTATATAGTTTGTATGTCTTGACGTTGCTTCTTCTTGACACGATACTGAGGTTTTATTCTGAAAACTCTGACCGGATATGTTTTCTGTGTGTTCTGGAGCTTGACAGTGTTTGACTTGTTACAGTGGCTCACCATGAATGACGAAGCAATATTTCACAATTCCTTTCTGTTAATATTGTAAAGGGAAGGTTTATTTTTACATGTTTATATAAGAAAAATGTATTTTCGAATAGTTGTAATCATATAGTAATTTTATATTGGGTGTATTTAATTAATTCCTGTGAAGTGTGATCATGACAACAACAAATGAGACATTTGCATGTAGCATTACACTTCTGTAAGTTAATAGGATGACATGTTTGGCTTACAAAACAACTGTAAATATTGTTTTGATGCCGATCCTTGATGACCATAATATTTATTGTCAAACATCTCAGTTTATGACTCAGAATCAGGTTTATTGCTTATTAGTTTTACACATACGAGGACTCTAATTTGTTTTAAATGGTGCATATATAGACAGAGAAAGAGGAATAAGTTGTAAAAAGTAGCTACAAAATAAAGTACAATTTTTAAAAGATTATAAAACAATATAGAGGATATTTTCACGAAATATAAATATACAAAGAACTAAGTACACAAAAAATATGACAAATACTATGGTTAAAAGTTGAGTTCTGTGCAGTTCCATTCTTTCTTCTATGGCTCATTTGTACACTAGTGCAGTTGGTTAGGGGCTATACTGATACTGGTGTTCTTGTAGATACGCAGTGCAGTGACCACATAGTTTCAAAATCTATATTGTCTATCTATCATCAAATATGGTAGCCTTTATGACAGTAAAAGAAAGAATATCGTACTAACTACGCCAGTATTTAATTCTCCCAATTTGTTTTTCTAAGTGTATTTCTTCCAAACAGACAATGATTCCTTTTTGTGTTTTGCAACCAGTGACATGGATATACAAAACACACTCAGACACAGTACGCAGACAAACTGATTACCAAACTAAATCGAAGTCTTCGCTCTCCATTTACAGAATACAACAAGTCTAGCCAGCTGGCAGCTTCTAATGAAAGATAGAAGCTGCCTAAGATTTACTTTATTGATCCCAATTTTGGAAATATTTTCATCATACCAGCATGTAAACAAGGCATTGCACATCATGTCAAAATAAACAAACAGAAAATATAAACATCTTAAAAATTAGAAAATAAAACAAAATGTAAAAGTCAAATGTATACATATTGACAGTGAAAGATAAATATATATAGACTATTTGTCAAATATACATTATTAAGGTCCAACTTACAGCTAACCAAATGTAAACGTAGGATATTATTCACGAGTCCAAGTCACTCTCGAGTCACCACTCTCCGAGTCACCTAGGGAGAGTTGTAGTCGAGTCCGAGTCCAGGACTTGAGTACTCCATCTCTGGGACACTATTATATACAGATGGGTGAATTATGGTTGTACAAGGGAACAAAATGATATTGTATTGTACGTAGATTAGACATTCTAGACAGAAACCCCAATATACAAAGAACCAGGTGTGGTTTAATACAGGTTTTAGTCACAACACTTATTCTCTGGAGAACATCCACCTTTTGAAAAGTAACAAACTTCACAACGGTATGACATTACCATCAACAACCAACACTCGGTGACATAGTGTGACATTTGGAGGTAACCCTCCCACTAATATCCAAGATTATTCTGACAATGTTTTTAGGTGAAAGCCCTGAAAGAGAAAATAGAGAAGGACCGAGGAAAAGATGCGTTTCCCGCTGAAGGACAAAAACTCATCTATGCCGGTGAGCCTGACAACACATACTGAATCTAGGAAAATGATTGACATAAAACTGAACTTTGAAGCAAATTGTGGGCAAAAAGTGACACCCGTGTTTGTTTTGTTTAAGGGAAGCTGTCCTATTCTCAACTGTGTCACAAATATTTTCTCACTTGCTATTTCGGTCACAGGCAAAATCCTTAATGATGACACCCTGCTGGAAGAATACAAAATCGATGAGAAGAACTTTGTAGTGGTCATGGTAACGAAGGTGAGTAATCAATGAGTTGTAAACATTGTGATTTGGTTCGGCAACTATTGAAATTTCAAACACTAGAGTGTACGTGAGGGATAATGTGCAGTGAGGTGGTCGTTATTGAACAAAGAACATGGGGCCTAACGCGAAGCAAGTATATGACGACCATTCCCATGCTCTATATGGTCTGGTACGTTTAGGGGTTGATTACATTTCAAAATCAGTAGACCTTGTTTTCCATTTTTACTAACACTCTCTTTTCAGGACAGGATTACCAAAACTGTGAACCACGCATAAAATATGTGACGTGGAGTGTGTAAGAACATGTTGAGCTGTAAACAGATGTTCTCCCTATGGATTTTACTTGGATGCCTTTTGTGGTGTGTTTGCACTGGGTTCGCCTCTGATATAAATAATGACACGAATAGGGACATGGAATGTACAGCCTGGTCTAGTAGAGTGAAATGGAGAATGGATTGCTTCTACCTCTGATCATTATATCCACACAACATTGATACATTCTTATGTCTTTTTAGCCTAAACCAGCCCCCCCACCAAAGACAGCCCCTCAACCAACTCCCCAGCCAGCTGCAGCTCCAGCACCATCCTCCGCCTCAACATCGGTGCCCCCCACACCCACACACTCGGTGTCTGCAGCCACGCCTGTCCCACAGTCTGCGCCCCCCTCTGAATCAAAGCCCCCAGTCCCAGAAACCCCTCCCCTGGCTCCTGTTGAAGCTCCAGACTCCAGTACAGCCCCAGCCCCTACACCAGACTCTACTCCAGCCCCTCCTCCAGCTCCAGAGGCCTCGGCCCCTGCAGATCAACCCCCCCCTTCTGCCAAGCCAGAAGAAAAGCCAAGAGAAGACCCTGGGGATGAACCGTCCGCCACCCCACCAGTCTCTTCCAGGTTGGAAAGAACCAATGTTTACATAAACAACATATTTATGATCTTTTAAAGACATTCCTCACATCAGGCGTAGTGACCAGACTGAAACGTCCCATCAGGAATTGCAATATCATTTCCCTCTGTTCCCCTCAAGGCAACATTGAATAACTAGTGATCCCGTAACCATTATCATGTCCAAGCATTTATTTCCCAAACACTTTGGTTAATAAATAAATACCTGCACAACTAAGGACCGTCCCATCAGCCACAGCTGTACTATGGGTTTCATTTGAATGCACTCATGATAAATGAAGGTAGTACACATCACACATGTAGGCATTGTCTCTGTGAGCATCTTAGCATCAGCAGCCTCGGAGAGCTATGTAGACTTCTTGGCTTTTTACCTTAGAATGTCGATGTACTCATGTTTTTTGTTGTTGTTTATTTCTCTCAAAGCCTTGTTGATGAACTGGATCTCCTTGAAGAAGCAGCCTCAATACTTGGTAATACATTTGTGATTGTCATTCCCTCTGTGATAAAGGAAACATTTCTACAGTACTGATTTCACAGTGCCTGGATTATTTTGGGCTTTTTGACTGAAATATGAAGTCCAGCTGAAGATAGTAAGGAAAGTGAAATGATTGATTACATGGAGCAAAAAGGTAACGACTCAGCCATGTGAGCATGTGCAGGATAGACAGGACAAGTATTAGAGTAGTAGTGCATCTGCATAAAGAGAAATATGCTGCATGTGTCGTTATATTTACAATATTGTAATCTCTTTGAAACAATTCTATTAAAATCAAACTCTAATGAAAACCAATACAAAGTGTCCGAAAGAGGTCTACAGCTAAGTGATGACTATTTGTGAAATCCAGGCACTGATGCACTGTGAAAAGCTCTCATTCCTCCCACAGTCTGTTTCGACAAAAACACACACACTAACACACAGATGTCTGCAAATGAATGCAGGGCACAGGTGTGACTCACCGCTAACTCAAATGTTTGCAAAGCTTGATGGGAAATGTGTTTTATAGAACAAATGTGACCTTTTTCCCCTCTGGCGTACCTTTCCTTATGTTTCCACAGTGACAGGTCCAGCCTATGAGAACCTGGTGTCAGAGATCATGTGTATGGGCTATGAGCGGGAGCAGGTGGTGGCTGCTCTCAGAGCCAGCTACAACAACCCCGACCGGGCCGTGGAGTATCTCCTCATGGTGAGGGTTCAGCCAGACCGTGTGTTGGATGTCCTTAAACCTACTGCCCACCCCTGTGTTTAGTAAATGTCTTTGATCTGCAGGGTATCCCAGCCGATGCCACTGATCTGCCCCCTCAGGAGCCAGTGAGACAGAGTGCTCCCACCAACCACCCCGCCCCGGCTGCACAAGAACCACAACCACCCCCACCAGCCTCAACCAGTGAGATCACACGTTTATCAACTCTATTTTTGCAGAATCGTTTTATGTGTTTTTTATTTAGATTTGATTATATACAGCCATAACAAGAAAAACAGCAATGCTAATGTACACGGAAAAACACCATGATAGAAGTGTTAATTTATTTCATGCAATAAAATGCTACTGGTCTATTTCCTGACATTCGTAAGCCTGGCTGCTCCATGGTAACAGTCCTTTATATATCAGCTTCAATTTGAAGAGGTGTCATGATGTGTGAGGTCTTTTTTATGCTAAACTATTCAGAAACATTTCATATCTGGTTGTTTTGTCTATAAAACATCTTCCAGAAAATGTACTCTCACCCTCTAAACAGCCCTTCCCCTCCCCAGCAGGGCCAGTGTCTGGCAGCCAGCTCCCCTCTGCTGGGGGGGGAACCCCCCCCACAGGGAACCCCCTGGAGTTCCTGAGGAACCAGCCTCAGTTCCAGCAGATGAGACAGATCATCCAGCAGAACCCGGCCCTGCTCCCAGCTCTGCTGCAGCAGCTGGGCCGAGACAACCCACAGCTGCTGCAGGTAGTGCGCACACACACACACACACACACACACACACACACACACACACACACACACACACACACACACACACACACACACACACACACACACACACACACACACACACACACACACACACACACACACACACACACACACACACACACACACACACACACACACACACACACACACCAATGATGGGGATTCAAGTGTGTCTGATCTTCTTATAGTACGATCTGTCAAGTAAGGGATTATGTGCAGTAAGCCGGTCATTAATTAAAATAACCCCGACAGGGTGAGCAGGTGTTCTTTTCTCATTTCTGATCACTACCAGAGACGGGAGAAGTACTCAGATCTTGAACTTGAGAAAAAGTAGAAGTACCAGAGTGTAGGAATACTCTGTTACAAGTAAAAGTCCTGCATTCCAAATGTTACTCAACTAAAAGTACAAAAGTATTAGCATCAAAATATACTTAAGTACTGGTCCATTTCAGAATAATATATATGATATGTTTTGATTTATAATTATCAATCATTCAAGTGTTCTCAAAGCTGGTAAAGGTGCAGCTAGTTTGAATGGCTTTGTATACTGCTTGTGGATTTACTCCAGGTGGAACTAAAGTCTGATTTAAGGGTTGATTATATTTCACATCATTCATCCAATTCTGTAAAGTAACTAAAGGTATTCAATACATTTAATGGAGTAAAAGTACATCATTTAACTCTGAATTGTAGTGGAGTAGAAGTACAAAGTAGCATAAAATGAAATACTCAAATAAAGTACAAGTATCTCAGCATTGTACTTTAGTACAGTACCTGAGTTAATGTACTAAGTTACTTCCTACCTCTGATCACTACACATTATCCTGCTTATTACACAGCTACTTACTAAATGAAACTACTTGACTCTAAACAGTGATTTAAAGATGATTTCATTGATTTACAAAGTATTGTATTGCTTCAGTTACAAAAAATAGTATTTTCTACTGTGAATCAACCTTAATTCAGAGCATCCTTAGCAACGCTCTGCTATCGAAAAAGAACAGGCTGCTGCAATGTGCAAATTGACCAATCAGAACCGAGTATTCAACCAAGACTTGAAAAACCCCAATGTTAACAGAGCAGTAAAGGAAGTCATTCTGTGCGGACGGTTCAAAGAAGCTTCAGTGCCGATCTGGGAATAAACTACAAGCACTGTCTCGACATTGACAATTCAGAGGACATTTCTGCTTGCTATTTTCTTTTTGATGTACTCCATTTGAAAGTAAAAATATGACACATGTTAGCCATGTGTCACACAAACACACTTCTTTAAATACAATTGTGTACTACATTATTAGTACTACAAGAAGTGTTCTTTAAACTGCTACATCAGAAGCTATTTGAAGTGAAATTCTGCATGATATATCTTTTTAATCCAAATAAATAAGGACAAAGTATATATTCAAATACTATTTAGCAAAAGTGAATAATGGAGTTATGTAAGAAAAGTCTGACCAAATACATTGAACTACTCAACTCTTAATTGACCCTCCACCATAATGTTTCAATGTGTTGCTTTCTCATTAAGCATACAAGGACGACAGCTGCATACTGTATGCCAGTGGTTCCCAACCTGGGGGGCGCCAAAGATCGCAGGGGGGGCGCCAGGCCTCAGATGATTTGAGGCCAAATATCATGTTTAGACTTTTTTTTTTTTTTAACTTTTTTTTTACATATAATTGTAAGGCAATACATGATTGTCACTAAAAGCCTCGTCTCTTCATTACAATAAAATATAAAAAATAATTGACTAATTAATTTTAATAAAAAATCAAGTTAGAATTAAAGGCATAAAAAGACAGAAATGTATAATTCTTTCTTTAATATAAATGTTTCTTCTGCCCGTAAAGTGTCCAAACCAGGCTTTTCTGGATAAGCGCATTTTTAAAACAGTCATTGTCCATGCCGGTTTCAGTTGGATTATTTGTCACAGTTGCTCCAATCAGATCGGTCTCCTCCATTTTGTAGATTATTTACGACTTTTGAATCCACATAAACACATCGGCAAAATCCGGCTTACTTTGAGCATGTGTTTTAAACAGTTTAATCCCTTTGTGAATTGTTCCCACTTCCGCGCCGTCCTTTCATTTCTTCATACAGCGGGAATCCAAATGAATGAATCCTGAGTCCAATAACCATCAAAGTCACTCCAATAGTGCTCCTTAATTAAGCTTTCATCCTCCTTTAACAAAATACTTCACATTCATCCAGTTTGTGACAGTAGTTGTAGCATTTTGAGACTTTTAAACTTGAATAACCGCTGTTGCGCACCCCCCCCTTGTGTGTGTGTGGGGGGGGGGGGCGCAACTTCCAACAGGAGTCATTTGGGGGGGGCTCTTGGGAAAAAAGGTTGGGAACCACTGCTGTATGCAACCCTGTGTTTTACAAACTAACCATAATCTTACAAAATCATCAACGTAATTTTACTATGTCTACTTCAAATTCTTAGAATCATCTGGTTTGTAGTTATTTTTGCTGGGGAGGAACCTGTCTATTAGCTGTAGTATTTATATTGTCTGTATTTATCGCTTACAGCAAATCACGCAGCACCAGGAGCGTTTTGTGCAGATGTTGAATGAACCAAGACCTGGAGACACGGAAGGGGAGGGGGCCGAGGGCCAGGGGCCACCACAGCCCAACTACATCCAGGTCACCCCCCAGGAGAAGGAAGCCATCGAGAGGGTCAGTTACCACTCTGTGTTCAGTCCCATTGAATTGATCTTCTCTAAATGCAGCAACTTGATCAAATGGGTTAAAACTCATTCTGCTTCTTAATGCTTTGCTCCAGTAATAAAAGCTATGCGAAAATATTTCTTTTTCTTTTCAACAAGTAGTATTGTATACACTGAAGATGAATATTGCTACATGTATTTGAATCCTGGTGTATGGTGTACATCATAGTGCTTCAATGATTGATGATGATACTGTTATAATGGATCCTGTTGTGATGTGTTTATCTGTAAGTGAGTGTAGCCTTACCAGCAGGGTTGGGCGGTTTATTATAAAAATGTATTCTAATAATTACTAGTTACCTTTAAAACAAAGTCATCCGTAACCTTATATATCACAATTGAAAGTAATGTAACTTGCCACTGTTACTTTCCATTACTTTTGGGTGACGTCAATATCATATGCAATGCAAATGAATACAAGAGAAAATAAATATATATACTTCAGTGTATTCTGTAAGACAACAGAACAATGTAACCTTATTATTATTTAGTATCAAAATATGTCTTCTGCTCAGAGATTTTATATATAGGAAAACCTGCCATTCATGAAGCATTCTCAGGCAGTATCGTATAGAGCAACCATGAGCACATACTGCAGTTTAAAGAAGTAGAATCTGAGCTGACAGAAAATGCTCTGTTTTAGTCAATACATACAACACACATAAAGGGAAAATCAAATTCAGGTAGTAGGCATATGGATTCCAACTTAAAGTACAGAACATTATAACTTATTTATAGTTTTACAAGAATACCTATTATGCCTGAAACGCGTCCACAGTACTTTTAAACAAATCAGGTGAGACCTCACTCGTGGCATGAGTGAGGTCTCACTTTGAGAAAGTGTTTTCATTTGTGCAAATGTATTTCCCAATATGTTTTTCTTTTTAACTGTAATCTTATACAGTTAACCCTTTTATATCCTAATTATACCGTTACATGTAATCCAGTACTCCGCAAGCCTGATTACCAGTAACTGTTTCAGAGTGCCTTTCTGTTATGTGTGTGTAACATAAATGTGTGTTCTGTTCCAGTTAAAAGCGCTGGGCTTTCCTGAAGGCTTAGTCATCCAGGCTTACTTCGCCTGTGAGAAGAACGAGAATCTAGCTGCTAACTTCCTGCTACAGCAGACATGGGACGACGAGTAGCCCCACACACCTGACACTTCACCAACAGAGGGCAGCAGAGTCCATGACAGCCAAACACAAGGTCCATCAGGGAGGGGGCGGGAGGAGGGGGACATTGCTGTTCACGCCATAGGACTGAGGATGAAGGGGGGTGAATGTGATGATGATGATGATGATGATGACATGCTGAAACTGTGCCTCACTGCTGCTATCATTACCGCTGCTGCTTGTGCCCAGTGATCACACTGAGAGAACAGTCTGCATCACCTTCACAAGAGTCGCCTGTAGAACATGTTAAACTTACTCTACTGTACATATACAGTGCACACCACAGGGTGCATCTGTTGTGAATATATTCATGACTTCAATGGGAATTTGTGAACTCTCCATGTTGGGTTTAACTGGAAATGTGATGCAAACTGTTAACTGTTTGAGAGCTAGCATTGCTTTATATTAAAGTTCAGGTCTGATTGTTTTATCACCATTACTGTGCTTCTTTAATACTTGGTTAAATATCCGATACAGTTCAAATATCTCAGACTCCAAACAGCACCATTTCCATTGTAGTATTGATCTTTCAGTAACCAGTCAGATGTTGTTCTGCGGTTCTATTAAGAAAAGGATACCTGCAAGGTGATTGGATGTTCTAAATGTTTAGACAATAACTCAAAATGTTGACTTATTAGTAAGTCAAAATAAGATCTGATTTATTTATATGGTATTTAACACATTTTGAGATAATACTTAAAGTGGCCCTATTGTGCTGTTTAGGGTTTTCTCTCCCAGACACACACAACTGAGCAGCTAACCAATCAGAGCAGACCGGGCTCTGGTTTCAGACAGAGGGTGAAAAGAGGTGCTGCAGCACAGGCAGTATGAGACAAATAAAGAGCTTTTTGAACATTGAAGCATGGAGACATGTCACAGTAGAGGCACTACATGCACAATAGGGCCTCTTTAATAATGTTTACCTAGTTCATCAGATTTGATTTTGAAATACTATACTATTTATTCTTTTGTTGATCTTGACTTTTTATTTTGGAAGAAATTCGGCTTAGAAAAACAAAGACATTTAAAGCTTGGTATAATCTGTCTCCTTGCACTCGATTTAAAAGATAATAAATCAATTGTTCAGTGAAGTCACAGTGTATTATGATCGCTTGTCGTCCAGATTACGTGTGCTATAATATTTGGTCAGAGAAGAAAACACTCAGCTCGATTTGTCAGTATGGTTTTCTTGTGTGGAGGGTTTGTTTTTCTTGAAGATGAAGGAATTTGAAGATTGGTCATGATGTGCAATATAGCATGTTTTTGTGAGCTGAATATTTGAAAAAAAGTGTTTTTCTTCCATAATATTTTATTTGTTGGAATGATAAAATAGTCCATGTATGCATCCCAAAGCTGTAAGAGTTTGAAGCATTGGTCCTTTTGGTTTTTAAAGACTTCAACATGTTTTATTTTTCTAATGGAGTTATATAGTTTACAATCAAATGTATTGGATGGACAAGTGTTGTAGGATTGGGGATCATAATTACAGTTTTAATTATGAAGTCATTGTTTCAGAAGTGGGCTAAAGGGAATTCAAATAACTGCTAGATGCCAACACCATTGTTGTTTTAATCTTTCAGCATGTATTTTGATGTCTCTCCTTTTAGTTCTCCTTATTATGTTTGAACTGGACATTACTAGAAGTTTTGTATTATATGGTGAATGGGTTATACACACTTTGGGGGGGAAATGCACTTTACTGTGACATATGCTGTTCTTAAACTGCAAGGGGTTGTTGCATGAGATTGTTGCAGTTATTTATAGCATGGCAGTGGGTTGGAACGATGAAGGCACCAGGGTGGTGAAGCTCTGATCTCAGTTTCTCTGTTGTTTTACCAATTTTGTGTGTTGTTTTTCTTTTAGGTTTAAAAAATACAACTTTAAATACACAATCTAATGTAATGCTAAATAGTTGTGGAAAACCTAAAGCATTGTGTAAAAATAAATGGCTTTTACAAAGCGGCTGTGACAAGTGAATTGTTTTATTATTTATTGTTCTTGGTGCAAGAATGAATGTAATCCTCACACATTTTAGGGACGCTGATCTCACATTGTGTGTGTGTGTGTGTGTGTGTGTGTGTGTGTGTGTGTGTGTGTGTGTGTGTGTGTGTGTGTGTGTGTGTGTGTGTGTGTGTGTGTGTGTGTGTGTGTGTGTGTGTGTGTGTGTGTGTGTGTGTGTGTGTGTGTGTGTGTGTGTGTGTGTGTGTGTGTGTGTGTGTGTGTGTGTGTGTGTGTGTGTGTGTGTGTGTGTGTGTGTGTGTGTGTGTGTCAAACATCAGAAAAATTCACAGCTGCCCTGCCTAATACTTTTGTTTTATTTTATTACAATTATTAAAGTTAGGTTATTTTCCTCCAATAATTACACATTGGAGAGGCTTTCCTCAACAAACCAGCTAGTTTTGTTGGCCAAACCTAACACAATTTCTGGCATGAAAACCTGACAGCTAACTCCTCTCAACAGTGCTCAAAACACCTGATATACAGTATGTATATTAAAATAACCTCTATATTATAACATTATATATTATAAGAACTCTTGTCTTGCTTCAATGTTTCTGCACCCTTGTTGTTTTTATGCATTTCAAAATGTTAACGCATGTATGTCTTAAAAAGCAAAACCACACAAGGCCATGTCTGACTCAGATGTCCAGCCTGATGCAAACAGGCCGGCACCCAGGCAGAAGAAATGGTTCGAGCTGTATCAAAGGGTTCAAGTGTTCATGGCACAATGTATTTTAATAATTTGTATTTCCTACACCAATCAAATGATTCAACCTGTTTTTTACTCCTTCAAAGGCACAGCAACTATTTTCAGATTGAGTGTCCAATGCAGGCACATGGACAGAAATCCTTGTTTGGCCAAGTGCAGCTTGTGGATTCCACCCTCAGAAGGTAACACTCTTAAAAACTCATTCAAAAACTGATGTTGTGTTTGCTTGCGTGCATATCAGTAAACAAACACATTACTGATGTACACTCTCATGGAACAACAGCCAGCTGCAAGTCCAGTCCACAGAGCTGTGGGACAGCAGAGTGCAGCAGTGGGACACCTGCGACCACTGAACTTGTCAATGGTTTTTGGACAGTTATTTACACTCATATTTGACCATGAACATTTTAAGTTGAATTATATTTGGACAGTATAATCGTCCCATGACACAGCCATTTGCTTTATTGCCTTTCAGTTTACCAAGTTAGTCGCACTTGTATTTTTAGGAAGGCTGAGGAATAGTCTCATGCTTGATGTCGTTTTAGCCAGTGAAAGATAGTAAATCTACTGAAATCATTTATCTTTTAAAAGGAATTGTAAATCAGTGATTCCAGGCTGAATGCAGCAAAACATTTGTTATAACGATTTTTTATGAATGAAAATCCATTTGGTCAGGATATTAAATAATGCAGTTTTCATTAAGTAATGAGTTGTTCCATATTTAATTAATAAATTACACTTGAAAGCTAAACAAATATAGTGTTTCCTTTAGAGCAGCTAAAAAATAACTTTGTGTCGTAAATGCTATGTTTTTTTTTCAAACTAATGTCAGTATATTTATTGCCATGCTTTTACAGTCTGCACACCCTGTATGACTGTAGGGGCAAACAACTCCAACAAGTATGGCAAGCACTTTTTAGTCAAATTTGTTTGAAGAAATGTCACAAAGGGGGCAAGGTAAAAGAACATCATTGAATGGAGTTGGCAGCTTGCTGTTGCCGGGTGTCGGGCATGGATCTGTCCGCTAAGGGGAGCGCTTCCCTGGAGAGGAGGGTGGGTGCGTTCCCGCAGCAACAGGGAAGATGGCAGCTCTCACATCTCTCACCCAGGTAAAGATGCTGCAATTTACGACTCTACACTTCATCTTAAGGATAAGATCATTTATAGCATGACACAGTATGTTCGGTTTATGACATTGTAATTTAAACTGACTTAAACTAAACATGAACTCGCTTTGAAATGCAGCTACAAATAAACCCGTCAGCTGGTCGGTTCAGGCCTATTTCAGTACCGTTATGTAGCGGGCTTGTTAGCATCAGCTGTTGCCGTGCTGCCATTTACCTACGACAACAAATTACGAATAACTGACTAATTACACATTTAAAGACAATAAGCATATCGTACACTGTATACACATTTGGGTACATGCTGGCATGTGCACGTTAACTTAACATAGCATCTTAAACTATGATACCGTTCAGTCCTTCAGCTAGCAAACCTTAGCTAGCCTAGCGCTGATGTCAAGTAGAGTGAGGGTGATAAACATGCTAGGGAGGCTAGGATGCAGGCTAAACAGGAGGCATGCTACAAAGGAGGCACAGGAGGCAGACTAAACAGGAGGAATGCTAAATAGTATGCAGGCTATACAAGAGTCAGGCTAGGCTAACCTCAGCTAACCTGGGCTTAGCTTTGGCTAATGATGCTGATGTGAGTTGCTCTCTAGTCTACTGGGGGTGAAAGTGTTTCTTAAAAAATGTATTCCGTTAAAAATACTATTTACATGTAAACAGTAACCTAATCTAAATATCACCATATAAAATAATGTAACCTGTTACTTTTGTATTAAATACAAGGCAAATATTGACTTCAGAAAATAAATCTCATCAAGGAAACACAGTATTTGTCAACTGCATAAAAAAAGGTGAATTAAATGAAAATCAATTATTTATTATTTTCAATAATTGTATGATTTACAAATGATGGTTGATTCCTTGATATGACAGTGTATATCCACTTCTGAAATGCACAGCTGGCACTGATTTGATGTGATGTTATTTCCCTGTTCACATTTGAACACAACATAATGGGATCATTTCCACCCTGTGAAAGGTTCCTTTGAACTAGAGGCTGTGATAATGAACTGGTAGATAAGCTGTGGTTTAAGCATGTGCCTCCTATATTGTTACATTGTTGTCTTGATATTGGTCTTAACATTTTTATCATTTGATCAAATCCTTCTTCCGTAACTGTAAGGGAATACAGTATCCTGCTTATCTGATCCCCTTACATGTGTTCTGTTATTCATCAAGCCTGCTGTGCTTGTGCAGCAGTCATAACTGGAAATGTAGTTATTTTGGAATATTTCATTTTGATTGTGCGCTGCAGTGCTTGGTGATATTTCAGCTGAATTGATACTCAGCAAGGATTTTGAAGAGCACTATTCTAGGCGCAGCTAGGCATTTGAGTTGGTGTAGTTGACAAGGCTTATTGTGGCAAGGTCATTCTGAGGTTGTAGTAAATATAAGAATATAGTGCCAACAGGCTCTCAGAACGTGTAGCTGAAGGAACCTCACTTATATAGAGATAGAGAAGGGAATTGGGTTGTTTATAGTGCTTTAACATTTTTTCTCTCTGCCGCAGTTATCTAGTGGGAACCCTGTATATGAGAACTTTTACAGACAGGTAAGATGATGAGCCAAATATTAATAAACTATATATTTATACAATAAGAGTAGTGTAATTGCCTTTATCGTAGTTCTTGTGATATTCAGCATCGTAGCCCAGCTTTTTGTGCAATCTGAGCCACTGTCTGCCACCATGTAAACCATCTTTACAAATCATTAGTACTATTTTTTTAAGACGGATACAGTATCGCAAAAACATAATATTGCCACACTCAGGTGTATCAATATTTTGATAGAAATACGCTTTTATCGTAGTTTATGTGAAACACACATGAATGGCAGATCACATGTTTTAAGTGAGAGTTCATTAGGATATGGAAGCATGACATTTGTCATTACAATTTATTTAATTCAATCACTCAAAATGTTAACGTTTGCTCCAAGGTGGACCCTGGGAATACGGGTAGAGTTGGACCAACAGAAGCTGCCTTGTTCCTAAAGAAGTCTGGACTCCCTGACATTACATTGGGAAAGGTAGGTTGTTGAATACCGTGTTTCTGTGTACTGGAGGAGGGTGTCAATGTAACTTGTTATAGAGCTGGAGAGGTATGTGTGTGTCTCATACATCAGCTGCTAGCAGTTGCTTGTGGATCATACTTGATTTTAACCCTTAAAGATCCACAAAGAAACATTGTTTTCTTTTTTGGAGGCGAAAGGGGATCTTTAGAGGAAGATTGCAGGTCAACAGTACAAGCCAAATAAAAGGGATTTGCAAAATCTAGAACTTGTTTGTTAAGGTACCTATATATAAGGGTATAAGGGCTTGCAACATTACAATCAAAGAATATAATAGCGATCCCCATGCTGTTTTATGTACCTTTTCAAGTCTCAAGTTGTTGCAGCAGTTTTTTTCTTGATAACATTTGCCACACAGATTTAAACATTTTTGACCACGCGAGAATTGGTAAAAATGATCAAAAATTCCTTCAAAAAAACAAATCTAGGGGTTGTACACATGCAGCGTCTTTTATCGCCTGGAGGAAGAGATGTGCATCAGTCACCTGCTTGGTGCCTACTCTCGTACTGACTTTTCAAGGGCACTAAAGCAGGTTGCTTAGGACGTTGCCAAACCCTCAGAACTAGCTCCTTGTAACATCTAGTCTTCTTCAAATCATTGTTTTTAAATGATTCATTTTAATATAGTCTTTGGGACAACAGTGTATTCCCAAAACATGTTTTTTGTCTCTGCTTTAGTCGCTCTGTGTGCATGTGTGTTTTAGAAGCAATGCTACTCAGATATATAGGAAGTGATGGACAGATCCTAAGCTTTGGATAATGGTAGCCCTGCAATACAATGATCCCTTCTCCTCCATATTTACAGAAAACTGATATTTATAGGAATAAGGATATCTGCCTTGTGTGATTGGTTGTTCCTTATCATTTGACAACTTCAAAAAGCTTCCACGGAGTGATGGCATCGCCCTCATGTTTGAGCATTAATGAATCTGCCCCTGAGTTCAAGATGACTCAACAAAAATGATTTTGTTTTACAGGAAGAGTAAAAAGTATTTTGAAATGAAAATACTTCTATAATCCATAAATATATCACTGGATTAGATAGACTTTCTTCACTTTTGCGTGTTTGCGTCTTGTGTTTCAGATTTGGGATTTGGCCGATCCCGATGGCAAAGGATATCTTGACAAACAGGTAGGGAACAGATGACTTCTCATCCAGTGCTCTGACTTTGAGAATGTGCTTAACAGAGACCTATTAAAGCACCATAGATGCCATTATGCTTAAATACCTGATCTCAGACGACCACATTTGTAGATACAACCCCAAATCCTTTAATGCTTGTTCAGCAAACAAATTGTTCTAATGTTTAAATATTGTTCAATTATGTTTTTGTTTATTTCATTTCTCAATAACAGTTTTGATACATCATGCTACATCAGTGTTTGTTATCTGAGTTAGAGAATAAGACCAATGGATAATAATGTGTGTTTTCTGTCTCAGGGGTTTTACGTAGCTCTGCGTTTGGTGGCCTGCGCTCAGAATGGTCATGAAGTCAGTCTCTCCAGCCTCAACCTCACAATCCCCCCACCCAAGTTTGTGAGTAGGACTTCATCACTTAACTGAATCCCATTCATTCTTTGCAATCAAGTTACAACAGTTATTTTCTGGTATTTTGCATCAATATGTAAATAACAGCAAACCTTTTGACATTTTTACAACACTCTAAATTAATTATATGTATCATGTTATTAAAACTTGTATGAAATTCTCAATATCAGAGAAGAAGATGGGTATTAATCCATCCAGCTAGTGATGATGATGTGACTTTTATGTGACGGCCATCTTTGTTTGTCTTATTTCAGAAGGACACTAGCAGTCCGTCTCTAAGCAGCACAGCTCCTCCCTCCAGCGAATTACACTGGGCTGTCAGGGTGTGTTGACACACACACACACACACACACACACACACACACACACACACACACACACACACACACTAGCATAAAGAAGTCCTTAAAGATGTGTACAATTCTATTTCCTAAGTATTTATTTTTGATTATACTAAAGACATTTTAAAGTTTTGAATAATATTAGGGTTAGGGAAGGGATATGAAATGGCATCAATCATTATTATCCATTATTTATTAAAATATGGACACATTTGATCCTCTTTAAGTTTGAAGAAAGCATATTTGTGAAAAGAGATATTTTATCTAGCCCTCAGCCTCTCAATGAAGACTTTACAAATGAAACATTGGCATTTACAAGAAATTAGTTTGCAGATATATCGGTATTGTTCATTTTTCACACTCTAAAATTTAACTTGGTTTTTTTTCATTAGTTCCAACAAAAATAACTCTCACATAGTATTATATTATTCATGCTCTAACACTCAGTAGTAAACCATAGAGTTGAAGAATAATCTGGAGCTCTTAAATCAAAAGACAGAGTGAGGCTTGGTCAGTATAACATGTAAAGATCAGGCTTTTAAGATAACCTGTGTGTTTCTTTGTAGCCCGAGGAGAAGAATACATTTGATGGGATCTTTGAGAGTTTGGCTCCAGTCAATGGCCTGCTGTCAGGAGACAAGGTGAAACCAGTCTTAATCAACTCCAAGCTACCTCTGGACGTCCTCGGGAAGGTAGTGACTTAAGCTTGTCGATTCTATGACAGATGGTTAAAATACTGTTTCCCGACAAATATGAAGTAGCATGAATGTCATCGTGGCTAACAAAACTGTTGTATGTAACTTTGTCAAATAACTTGCTTTTCTTCCAACATGGATTCATATGAATGAAATAACATATGTTAGAGATCAGTTACCCCTTTCATCGCGCTGAATGATCTCATCATGTTTACTTCCTGCTGTCAGGTTTGGGACCTGAGTGACATTGATAAAGATGGCCACCTGGACAGAGATGAGTTTGCAGTGGTGAGTTTTTGCATTTGTACTGTTTTAGATTTGGTTCTCTATAGCCTGACACAACTGTGCCCCCAAAACAGCCTAAGAAGGTGGTCGGTGGATAATTACTATTATTTAGATCAGTATTAAGATCAGTGTTTTCTGTCAGGATTATTCAATGATTAAGAGAAACATATCTTTAAATGGTACTGACAAAATCAGTCAATCACATGAAATCTGTAAGGGGAGTTTTTTATAATACAGCATTCTAATGTATAAAAAACTGGCAGTCCACGTACTGGGGACCGGGTTCTATTTCGGCCTGGGACCATTTTCCGCGTTTCATCCCCTCCGTCTCCCCTGCTCAATACAGTCACTTCAGTAAAGACACTATACCCAAAATTGTAAAAAAAAGACGCCAAAATATTCATACATTCTGACTTTTTGTTGGGTTTAGGGCAGGGGTCTCAAACTCAAGGCCCGGGGGCCAAATCCGGCCCGCAACTTCATTTTATGTGGCCCCACAAGAGCTTGCAAATAATATAATACGTTTATTATACGGTTACATGCCACTTTACAGAAGCAGGTTGCCCATAAACTACATGTCCCACAATGCATCTCGTTTTGTGATATGCGCACTGAAGAGACTTGCAATTATTTGCCCTGGACTTCTGCTTTAAGAAGTAGTTAATTACTAAGTTATTATCCTATCCGATAATAATCCAATTCAGAGGCAATAATGTAATATAATACATTATTATATATATATTAGTGCTGTCAAAATTATCGCGTTAACGGCGGTAATTAATTTTTTGAATTAATTGCGTTAAAATATTTAACGCATTTAACGCATGTGCAGAATGGCCCGCCCCATACGTGCCACCAGTGGCAGCGCCAGGGTATGGCTGGGGTAGGCTACACCCATACCAAGAAATGGCTTAGCCCCACCATGAAAAATGATGTTAAAGTAAGCAAAATAAAGTCTGCCAACTCACGCGGAGTAAATTGCACAGACAGCAGTTAGTAAGATTGATTTCAGTAGCCACGGTTTTGAAAACTTTTGTCACGTAGTGATCATCTTCTCAATAGAACATCTTTGATAACGGCGTGGTGTTGTTGCAGGAAGTCCCGACGGAGAATACTTTTGCTGTAGTACGGGGTGCACATAACTGGTACGCAGGTTATGTGCGTAATCTGAAATGCGTACCGTCACTTGTATCACAAAGCGCATTTGCGTACCGACGTACTTGTGAAGCTTTTCCAGAAGGCGGTTAGATCACCGGACGACAGAGTCGGTCTCCGTGTGCACAGACAGGGCTGCTGTTAACGTCGGTCTGTACAACGGAATTGTGCCAAAACTACGCCAACCGGCTACGGAGGGAGACTCTCCCCCCCCCCTTCACTGGAGAACTGCGCTAAAACAGCTGATCACAACGTTCACACTGTGGTCACGAAGTACTCCACTAGCGCCCCCCCCCCCCCCCCCCCCCCCCCCCCCCCTCTGTCGACTTTCCTGAAGTACTCCCCCGTTGATAGAAATCAACACGTAATGAATTAAGACCCCACGGTTTGATGATTGATAGGTGTGTGGGCTGTCTTTCATTTTGACACGCAGAATTTTTTAATAATAAACATAGATACTGTATGTTAAATGGATATATCCGCCTTCTTTCATTTATCTTTCCATTCCCACAACAATATACATAAATAAATGGCATATTTTGGACATAGTTCGAATGGTGATTAATCATGATTAATTAATTTTTAAGCTGTGATTAATCTGATTAAAAATTGTAATCATTTGACAGCCCTAATATATATATATATATATATATATATATATATATTTATTTATTTATATAGTTACAATCTGCCCTTTGAGTGCAACCTTTATGCGAATGTGGGCCGCGATGAAATTCAGTTTGACACCCCCTGGTTTAGGGTATACCAAGAATATCCTTTTTTGGTCGTCTCCACATGTTACATGTACCCACCTAATTTAACACAAGTAGGACAAACACACATAGGTGGCGCTGTTAAGTCATTTCCCCACCCCTATGTTAAAGGGGACCTATCATGCAAAAATGCACTTTGTGATGTCTTTTATACATAAATATGTGTCCCCGGTGCGTCGGGGAACTCACGCATCGTCACAAAATAAAACACTCTCTTTTCCTCCGTACCCAAATCTTTTAAAAACGGGTGTACAACGAGCAGATTCAGATTCCATCCGAACTGACGTCAAATCAGCAGCGGACCCACAGAAAGTTGCTATCAGAAACAATGCCTGACGTGTTTTGGACGTCTTTGTTTACATTAGCAAGCCTCGCTAACACTCAGAGCTAACCTGTACCGTAGAGCACATGTGTTTTTAAAAAGCAGGAAATAAAAAAAGGAACTCACCTCGTGATAAACCCGCAAGAGAAAAAGCATTTGAGCTCCATACTGTTTCAGAAATAATCCTTGACGTGGTTTAAACAGGATGGCGTTTTATCACAACAGAATTTAACTTTATCTCTGGTAGAATTCTGATCAGGCATTAGCTCCGCCTCCTCTTCTTTTCTTTTTTGCAAGCTAAGGACCCAAGATCTGCGTTTCTCTAACAGGGCTGCAAAAGAGGGGTATGAGCAGTATGAGGCATGGCTACAATGGGTGATCTGTTTGGTATTTTGAAAAAAAAACTTCATAGACATGTTTTGTATAGGTATGGCCCTACAATATATTTTTCCAATATAGCATGATAGGTCCACTTTAAAGAATCCTATTTTATGTACGTATACACTATGTACACGTTTTGTGCCAAATAAAATGGTGTTTCTGAACATGTTTAGGCCCACAACAATGCAATTATTAGATAATTCCTACAATTACATTATGATAATTCATCCTGTTGTGCTCTGACCCTAATAAATAGTAGATCGATTTCTTTACTCGCTATTAGAATGTGTGTCTGGACTGGAGGGAAATACCAGGTTTTGATCCAAATGAGTTTTCTAAAAGCTTTATATGCAGCCAATTATAATGGATTAACAGCAGGATCTGCTCACCCTAGGCCATGCACCTGGTGTACCGGGCCTTGGAGAAGGAGCCGGTTCCCTCCCTCCTCCCCTCCTCCCTCATCCCGCCGTCCAAGAGGAAGAAGAGTCTGGGCTCAGTGGCTGGCTCTGCCACTGGACTACCTGCAAGCCCCCCCCCACCAAAAGACTCGTTACGCTCCACACCCTCTCATGGCAGCATGAACTCACTCAACAGCACCGGCAGCCTGTCGCCCAAACACACACTCAAGTCTGGACAGGTAATACACACTATGTACACTCCATTAATCAGACACTATAATCCATAATATAACTCAAACTGGAGGAATAGTTATGGTTAAAACCTTTTATTTGCATTTTAAATTTTTTATTTGCTTTGGCTTTACATAACAGCCATCTTAATACTCCGTGGCTCTCCATAAAATTACAAAGCCAAAACATTAATGAAAAGCAGGCACAATCAAATAAGTTAAAGGAATCTAAGCAACAGTTCATTTGTATCCTACTAAGTATATTTAAATTGCATTATTCTTTACATCAATGCTTACTTTATTCTAAATAAACACTGTAGTGGTGCACTGTTTGGGACACCGTTTACAAAAATGTACATTAATAAACATATATTAGATTGGTCTTTTGTACTGATGGCTGTATGCAGCACTCTTCAGGACTTTATGACTATCACGGTAAAAACCCAGTGATTGAAAATGTCCTGGAAAATAGTTTCTTGGGAAGAACTTTTCATAAAGTTCTACCCTGCCATATCTGCCATAACCACCTGGATAACGCTCTCTGAAGAAGAGCCATACTGACTTGTTCTGAAAAGATGTATGTTTAATTAAAACATATATAACATACATTTGTTTAATTCAAGACTTGTTTCGAGTCAAAGACACAAAGAATTTCAACATGAGCATCTCCTCTATCTCGGTTTCAGCATTCATTGAACTGGGTGGTCCCAGTGTCAGACCGTGGTCGCTATGACGACATCTTTCTGAAGACTGACGCCGATCTGGATGGTTTTGTCAGTGGGCATGAAGTAAAAGACATCTTCATGCACTCTGGACTCTCTCAGAACCTCCTGGCCCACATATGGTAGGGACCCTGAGAGACTCGCACAGTGGGGTCAGTGTGCTCAGTCTAATTGAGTTAGCTGAATGTAATTCTGTTGAACGTCTGCTCCTCCCTGCAGGGCTCTGGCAGACACCAGGCAGCTAGGCAAGCTGACCAGGGAGCAGTTTGCCCTCGCCATGTATCTCATCCAGCAGAAGGTCAGCAAGGGCATCGACCCTCCACAGGCCCTGACTGCCGACATGTTACCCCCCTCAGAGAGAGGGACCCCTGTACCAGTAGGTCACACACACACACACACACACACACACACACACACACACACACACACACACACACACACACACACACACACACACACACACACACACACACACACACACACACACACCACACACACACACACACACACACACACACACACACACACACACACACACACACACACACACACACACACACACACAGTATACTGTATCTATGTAATTCATAGTGCTCAGGAGGTAAAGCAGGTTGTCCACTAATCTTAGGGTTGGTGGTTCGATTACTGGTTCATTTAATTGTGGGAACCCCAACAAATGATAAACCAAAGATTCCATTAATTGTGTGGCCCTATAGATGAGAGCAACTCTATGTCACTGCCTGGCGAAATGGCCCTGCCCACTCTCCGGTGAAAACGTTTTCTCATGCCTTTTTATTTTTCTGTGTTGTGTTTTGCACGTCAAACAACAAAAAGAACCAAAGTTAAAATGTTGTTTACTTAGAAAAATGATAAAAGAAACAGTCTGTGGCTTCAGGCCTCCACAGAGAAAACAAAAATGAATGGTCAGTCAATACTTGTACGTTGGTGGGAAACAATTTGTCACAGCTGAAGTATGATGCCAAGGAAATCCCAGATTCAGTGTCGGCCTGCGGCCTAACTTCAGAATCTGTATTTACTGCTAGTCAAATGACCGCATATGTTTTCACCAAAAAAGGGGCGCTGTCATGACGTATTGGGGCAGTACCCGGCTCTCATTACCTTTTTAGGATTGTGGCAAGGGAAATGTCTTTATTTCAGACAATCCTGGAGTTACGTATTTATTTTTGATGTTCCTTGTGTTAAATAATAAGAAGTTAAATGAAGACCGCAAGATACTTAATTTCTTAATTTCACCCTCTTTCCAGCCAGGGCTCTATAGTAATGTCCATTGTACTTGTTCCTTTCTGTGATTGTTTTACCATTAGCTGGTTAATCCAAGTATCGTTAACTTTGTACCTTTACAGCATGGCATCATGATAACATTATGTAACAAAAAAGAACAGGAAACCTAGTGCTAATGTATTTCCAAAGGTGTTGTCTCTTTTGACATTGGATGAGTTAAACCTGTTGCTGATGATACAAAATCATAAACTAAGTATTGTCTCTCTGTGTGCAGAGTATGTCAGGATACATGACCCCAGTGGGATCGGAGATGGCTGCTCTGTCTGAAATGAGAAGGGTGAGTCCTTTTCTCTTCTCTCATATTTGTTCTTCCCTTAGCATATTTGGGCTTAAAGGTGTACACATTTGTCTGCTAAACACTGTTTTTAAACTGCACAAACTTCCTTATCTGCAAAATCCCTCGAAAAAGTTACAAATGTAACTCACAGTAATGGTAAACAAAAGATGAGGTAAATCAAGATATTTACTCCCCACTGTTGTACTGTAAGTCTTTCACTGCTGAAGTGTCTAACGTCCCCTCTTCCTCCTCTCTCAGGCTATAATGTTGAAGTTGTGGGTAGGTAACATGGACCTACAGTGTATGAACCTATAAATGCTTTCAGTGGCTGCCTGGCCTTTCCAGCAGATTACTAGAAAGCATGACATACCATGTGACGTCTCACCCTGTCAACCAGCTGCTGACCAAGGAAAGATTCTGGATTCTTTTAAAATCATTATAACAGTGGTATTAAATACTTAAATTAATCAAATCGATGGCATCCCGTATTAATCCTTTATTTTTTAAACACTCAATGGACAAATAAAAAAAAACCTAAGAACTGATTGCATAGGAAGTATCAGTCACTGACTGTTTGAGAGGCGGCGTTAGCTTGTGGTTGTTTTTAAATGGATGTGAAAAAATAGTTTGGGGCATTTTCGAGGTATAAGAAATCTACTTGTTTTGCAGTACACAGAATGTGCCACCAGGGAACCGAAAAAATAAATGTAGGAATTAATTACGTTTTATAAATGCTATGATAATGTACTGTAGCAGTGTACCCAGCAGGGGCTAAAGCATTTTTTTGGTTTGTTTATGCAAGAAATGTATCCTACCTCACCCAAAAAAAGCTGGTGTACAAAACATTGGAACCTTTTTGAGAACAATTGTTATGAAAGAGGCTTTAGTTATATTCATACAATTGCAAAATCCTGAATCTTTTCTCCCTCTGCCGTTTGTCAGTGGTGTTGACACCCCCTATGTGTTGACCCAGCCCCACCTTCTGTGCTGCTCCTCTCACCGAGCACTTATCTCCTGTCCTCTCTTTTCCTCCTTCTCCTTCCTTTGGCCTGGTCTGCCATGGTTCAGTCGGTACCAATTCATGATCCCACTTCTTCGACAAATATGATTTAATTTGCCAATGTGTTCTTTATTTCTCTCTCTCTCTCTCTGCCTCTGGCTCTGGCTCTGTACAGGACAGCTCCAGTTCAGTGGGATCAGGCGAGTTCACCGGAGTTAAGGATCTGGATGACATCAGCCAGGAAATAGCACAGTTGCAGAGGTAACAAATTCTATCAGTGGCACGGCTCAATGACATGGCACCACTGACACGGCAACTGAATTTTCAAAGCTGCAAACAAAATGAATACATCCAAACTGTTTTATTTTAAGCATCGCCGCATTTGTAACAGTTATCTGTTAGTATAGCACATTGTATTTAGCCAAAACGTAATGCAGTAATAACAACAGTAAATGGGGGGATGTGTGGGAGGGAATCTCCATCTGGAAAGAACTTTTGAATGTTAGCCTTTGCAGACCATTTACATGCACATCAACCTATATAACTCACTACAGGAAGGGCAAAAGCATAATAGGGCCTCTTTAATTCCAAGCTGCTCTGATCCGATTCTATTTCCACATGTTCTTGTAGTAACGTCACCAACCTGATGCTGCGTACTTGTGTAGAACGGGAAAAGCTCACACTGCAAAATGTATCCGCCATGCTGTTTTCATCTCATCAGACATGCCTCCATCCATTTTCCCTTTTTTATTTTCTTCGGTGCAAAACATAGCATACACAACTTCCACCACCACCTGAGAATGACAGTTCATTTAATCATGCAAGTGGTTATTGGAGATTCAATTCTATGTGAGATCTCCAGTCCCTGGATTCTCATCTTGAAATATATACTAAAAAGAAAGAATCAGAGAGTCATGTCGTTTGTCTCAGTGCCCTGCATCACCCTCATCTCTGTATAAACTGTTCATCTTTGGTCCTGTGTCTCTGATAAAATGCACACTTGAAAAGCAAACCTGGACGAGCTTCACTTCACATCTCGGCTTTCTCTCATCCTATCGCTTCCTTCTTCCTTCCATCGCTTCATCCAGCCACCCAGCCAAATCTTCTTTTGATGTGTGTATTTTATCAAATTTTGTTTGTTCACTACTTATTCTCCATGCTGCGTCAGCACACTTGCCTTTACCCAGTGGAATACTATCAGGTAACCAAACCAGCTACTGTACATCTATGGACTGGCGTTCTGTCTAATCTACTGTGACACACACAACATGAGCAGTGGTTCTGACATCTGCTGTTCTTTCATAGTGGTTATAAGTGGCCTTCCAATTCAAATGTGCTTATTTCATATCCCCTTGGTGCCCTATTTCAAGATGCAGGATAGGTTTACAGTTTTTAAATGATTGTGATGTGCCCAAATGGATATTATAAAAATGTTCATGCTATTGAAGATAGCAGTTCCCAAGTCCATTTTAGATAAAGTGATTGGGGAACAGAATTGACAGTCCCTTCACTGCATTCAAAATGTTAGGGTTGGGGTCAGTCAAATAAATTGTAAATCTTCCAACGTTTTTAATATAATAAAAACAGGATTGTCCTTAAGCTACATTCACATACAGTAAAACGTGATTTGCACTTTGCTCACCGTGAGGTTGGGTGCAGTGAAACCGTGGACTGTATGGGTAAAAACTGCTAGTTACGTTTTGTTTCTATGGTTACGTCCCCTGCTAGTTTGCGGAACTACATACAGTTGGCATCTGATTGGTTGCACGTCAACAGGTCAGTTGTAGATGGGGTCAGAGTTGGAATAATTTGTACTTTGTAGGGCTGCACGATTTTGGGAACAAATCGAATTGCGATTTTTCTGACAAAAATTGCGATTCGATTTGCGATATTTGTTTTTAAGCGACCCAACGGAAGTTTATTGTAAAATGCGGCCATATCTCCGGCTAGGAAGGTCGTATCAACGTGCTCCCGCCTCTAGCACCCCCGCAGCCCGAGCTACGAGTGAAAGAACTAAACTTACATGAAACTTCCGTTGGGTTGCTTTAAAGTCAAGCTTCAGTTTAAGATTCACCCTGTAATAGATGTAACACATGTGATGGAGCATTACTAACCTGACTCAGATGGTTTCTTTCACCAAACCATCTAAAGCTCCATTGGAAGCCATTTGGAAAGGGCAGGCACTTTCAAAAATACTTGGCAGGTGATTGGATCAATCTGTCTATCACCTTCTATCATGGGCCACTTCTGATTGGTTAACAATGGCTGGTACATGTGGAGCACATCACTTCTGATTGGTGTGGATGACTGACACACAAGAAATAAAATGTAAAAAAAAGAAAACGTTTTTTTCTTTGCGATTTGATAATCGCATCATTTAAAATCTCGATTTAAAATCGATTAATCGTTCAGCCCTAGTACTTTGAGACCTCCAAAAGTTTCGCTTTATCCATAGAAACACAACAGCAACGACAGCGCAAAGCCGTTTTTTTACCGATGGTCATGTTAATGCACATAATATCTCTTCCCATAACAAAAACCTGTATTTTGTTATTTTGAGGATAACAAAATACTAGGAAATGTTGGTGCAGTTCATTGCCAAAAAAAAACACATTCATGCAGTTCTCACAAAGTTGTTTTCTCCCACCAACCTACACAATGTTCCAAACTGAGGAAATGATGTAGGATCTAAAAGAATACATTAAATACACACGGACACACCCAGCTCTACTTTCCCTGTCAGTTTTTATAAGTCTGTGTCAGTGCATTTGACAGAAACCCAGTCCAGTGTCTTGTTACTCTGTCTTGTTGATTTGTGCACACAGCAGGGGGTTGGTGGTTCTTGGATTCTTTATGTTATATTTCAGCTTGTATGTGTTCACGAGTGCCCTTGTGTGTGTATATGTTTTTGTGTGTATGTGTCAGGGAGAAGTACACACTGGAGCAGGACATCAGGGACGCGGAGGAGGCCATCAGACACAAGAGTGCAGAGGTGCAGGTAAGGGAACCTGTTCACAGAGAAATATTGTGCTCTCCTTGCCTTCTTATACAAACTCATGCAATTTGTGTATGAACACCTAGATTTGGCACATGATACTTGATTTGTACTAATGTGTCGTTTTGTTACACGTTCCCTCAGGAGATGCAGAATGACCTGGACAGAGAGACGGCCAGCCTGCAGGAGCTGGAGGCTCAGAAACAAGACGCCCAGGACCGCCTGGAGGAGATGGACCAGCAGAAACACAAGCTGGAGGACATGCTGAACGAGGTCCGGGTCAAGTGCCAGGAGGAGTCTCACATGGTGAGCATTCACCTCCTGCTTTATTACAGAAGATTTTACAGAAGATGGCCGTGTTGAAAATCAAAATGCAACGGTTGGAAGTTAACGTGGAAATGAATGGACTATGTGGGAATGACACCACTTTACCAGTGTTGCAAAAGAATGCACAAGGGCATGCTAACTCACAGCTAGTTAGCAGCTAGTTAGCAGCTACAAGCATTACAAGGAACAGGAGGGCTGTGTACTGGGTGATCAGAATCAGAATACCTTTATTAGTCCCACAGAGGGGAAATGTACACTGTTACAGCAGAAAAGAGCCAAAGAGAGCTTAATGTTACCTAAGAAGCATGCATAAAAAAAATGATAATGAAAACATTTACACAATTTACAAAAGGCACATCCTGGATCTATAAGTGGTAGTCCTCCCTGGAACTCTCTGGGTGCAAAGCCCAACAGGTAAATAATTTCCATGGGATTTGGGAGGACGAATAACAGGCAGAGCCCAGCGCTCTGAAATCTGGGAGGCTGTGGCTCAGTGGATAGTGTGCTGGACTTGGAATCAGGGGGTAGCAAGTTCGAGTCCCACTGCAGTCAGCATGTCGTTGTGTCCCTGGGAAAGACACTTCACCCCAAATGTGGGGATTGTCCACAGTACTGAATGTATGTAAGTCATGTAATGTAATGTAATCTGTGATGCGACCGGCTGGCCTGCATTGTTATCACCCAGGAGGAGCGCCTCTTCAACCTGTTCAGACTGAGAAACAACCACCACAACAATGTCTCATTTGTGAAGTCAGTCTGCTGGCAGTTTTTTGTTGTTGAAGTTTCATCATCTGTAGTTATATCTCCTTTATTTTTCTGTTTGGCAAAAGTAACTGTATACTCATAACGCTCAATACAGTATGATACCTCACACAGAGCTACAGATAATATCTTAATCATTTGATGGCAGCATATGATTTGAATAATTCACCCGATGTAAAAATGGGCTGTTGTCGCTTGGCAGGTGTTCATCTCATTCTCTTCTCTGACTCCAGATCTCGACGCTCCAGAATCAGATCCACTCCCAGGAGACCGATCTGCAGTGCCAGGAGGAAGAGCTGATCCGGGCCAAGGCCGACCTGGGCCGGCTGCAGCAGGAGGAGAACCAGCTGGAGCAGAGCCTGGCTGCTGGCAAGATCCAACTGGAGACCATCATCAAGTCCCTGAAGGCAACACAGGATGAGATCAACCAGGTAGGAACAAGGCCTGTTTGTGTGTTACAGAAAACTGTCAACAGGGGGCACCAGTGCACTTCATTATCTACTCTGTGTGTGTCTCTGGAAACAGACACAACACAATAATACAACACACAAAGAGCCACTCATTTCTCACGCATAACTTCACCACACCGACTTATATCCACAGCTTGACTTCAGATACATGCACTGTGGTTGTTGCATAGCGTTTCTTCATTCTCTCTGTTTAACATCATGTTGGCCGTATGGTTGAGCCCAGATAAGATTATTTTCTCCTGAATTTGAAAACCAATACAGTTTTTATTTGCTCCTTCCTTCGAGTTAGAAGGTCACACGGAGGCTTTAGGTCTCAGCAGCTAATCATTTCCTCATGTTCACCTGTAATAATATCCAGTCTTATTGCTTCCAGGGACTGTCATGTTGATTCTAATGACATAGACCTTTTGATTATTCATAAATTCTCCCTCCTGCAGCGGGTTTCCAGCAGTTCAGGCAACTAAAAAACATATACCATATGCCATCAAAACAAAAGGATTCTCAAAGTGATACCTAAAATCCATTTACTAAGTATTATTTCTTTTCAAAAGTGGCTGTAAAAAGTCAATATTGTTTGTCTTCTTAGATATTAAGGCAAAAGGTTCCGTGCAGTTGTAAATGTTTTGAATTTTCTTTATGAATGATGTGCTTTAAGTTTTTTTATTTTGAAAAATGTACTAAAGCAGAACACTGTTCATTTAAAGCTATGATGTTCCCCAATTACCTAAAAACAACTTCACCTAGTGTTTACATTCTATGTAGAAAAGTTTAGATGTATATAGAACATATAGTGTACATAAGACTTGAATTGAATATTCAGTATAAACCTTTACATGCTTAATGTAAACATGTTTTGTTAATGAGCACCACTAACAGAATTCCTGCTTTTCATTAGAGTGGAGGAAGAAATCGGTGAACCTGGGTAAATAAAACCAGATGTATTGACATGGCTAGATACCATTACCTGATTCTCAAATCTATTTTAAGTAGATGTCTGTTTCCGATTTATAATGTTTTGTTCAGTGTCGGTGCTTCAACCCTGTTCTCATGATGTAAACACTGCTGTGAAAACAGTTGTGAGTGTGTGTGCTTATTTGCAAGGAACTCCAGCAGGTGTCCAGCAGGAGGCTGCACAAATCAAAGACATCGACAAAGAGTTTAGGAAAGCAAGAAGAGCACTGAACTGTGTGTGTGTGTATCCTGCAGGCTCGCAGCAAGTTGTCCCAGATCCAGGACAGCCAACAGGAAGTGTCTAAAAGCATCGAGCAGTACAACAGCACCTTGAATGGAACCCACGGAGGCAGCATGACCAACCTGGCTGATATGAGTGAAGGCTACAGCGACAGAGAGAACGGAGGATTCCCGTCCATGGTGAGAGCCCCGCAGGTCAGGATGCCATCAGAACTCTTGCCTCCCAAGGTGGCTGTAGTCATATTTCATTTCTAGATAGAAGGGCTCTACCTGAAGAACATTCAATCGGCTGGAATACTTTAAAACTTAGGAGCATTATCAAGTCAAGCATTTAGGCTAGCAGATAGAAAACTGCCTCTCATGCACACGTTTTATTTTTCTTAACGCTCTTAACATTCTCTTCTAAAAATGAATAGTGTATTTAAATGGCCTATTTGTTGTTAGTGATGATAAAGATTGATTGTTTGTCACCACTTCAGAAGTAGAACAGAGCAACTTTCTGTTGCAGTGGCGAGGAGTTAGACAATATATTCGTGGATTCTTATATTTACGACAAACTAAGAAGAAATATTTATTTTTCTAACTCATGGGCTCTTTTCCCTTTCTCTATTTTCTCACCGTCAGCCTGATTTTCCTTTATAAAAAGACATTGCTAGAAAGTGGACCAGAGTTGGTCAGCATTAGTGGGACATTGTGTATTTTCTGTCAAACCCAATTGTATTTTGAATTATTTTCTGGCAGCTAAATATTATTTTAGATACAAAAAGTAGTCTCAAGCCATTTATCAGCCAACATATTATTTTACTTACATTCTAATGCTAAGAATGCACAGAATAGAGATAAAAGAAGGCTTTGTGAACCTTCTATCATCATCTCATGTTCCCTTAAATTATCTAGACAAGGGATTAGCACCAGTCTGCATTCCACAGCATGCCACACTCTTAGCTCTGTTAAACCGACCATCGCTAAAATCTAGGTTATTGTTTTTCTTCCTGATTCTCCATTGTGTTCCCCTGGGCACTGTACTCATCTAATTCCTCACTTTAGCTTGGCTTCTATTCACTTTACTCAAAATCCCATAATGACTTTGGCTCAGTCCCTCTCACACCTGGCCAACAGCTCTTGGGATCAACAGCAGGATAACACTCTGGGTTTTCTATGAAAGTGCAGATCCTGAAGTGGATCATAACAAGATGGAGCTCAGCACAGAGTCAGGCTGGCATTTTAAGACACCTCTCTAAGTAATTGCACACAAATGCACACTTAGAAGAATGTTACATTCAACACATTGGCTTCCTCTCTTCAACTGCATACAGAGAAAGGGGAATATGGATGATGTGTGGTTATGTGTGCGGTGAGATTAGGAAAGAGTTTGCTCTTCTTTAAAAGATTGAAGGATAGATGTGGTTTGTTATAACTTAAGGTAGGTGTTAAGGTTAGGGTTAGCTTTTGTCTATCTTTTCTACCATTTCTGATTACATTGTGTCTACGAATGATCGCTAAGACCAGCAAGCAGAAGGACATTTCTACAATAATGTCAAATGGGCAGAAAACAACAGCAGTCAGAGGATTAGACGGCGACAAACTTCCATTAAAAAAAATGAAAGCCAATGCACAAGTGCCTTCAAAAATCTGTTTAATATCCAGCCGGGTCAACTGGTTTCAAAGAGACTGATTTGATGAAAGTGTATGAAAAAATGAACCTATGAAAAAGACCTTTCCGTGTGTTTGTCTTAAAACTTGAAACCTTCCACAATGTTTTTACAGTTCATGAAAGGTAAAGGTTTTTTTTGGCCCTTTCTCTCTAGTCACTTATGGTTCCAAAACAAAGATGGCAACTGCCCAAACCCCAAACTTGCAAGTCAAAAAGAAATTCCACAGACCTATAGGTGACGTCATGGTGACTAAGTCAACTTCTTTCTTCTAACATTACAAATATCCAACAGTTTATTTGGATTATCAGAAAGGATAAGGTTGGAGAGGTCCAACTGCAAATGATACCTTGTAGCATGTTGCTAACAATCTCTCAGTGGACTAAAGCTCTGTACCAGATTTCAAATGGTACACCCCAATATCTGACCAAAGTTAAACTCCAAATGAGAAATACAAATGACAATACTTCCATTTTTAGGACGAGGGAAGAAAACTAGAGAAACCCTGAACAGGAAATGGAATAAATTGCAGAAAATATACATAATCCACTTCAACTGGTTGAGAGGAAATAGGCTCTGCCTGTCCAGGTGTTCAGAATGCAGCAGGTGGAGGTGGAGATGGTATTGATTTGCCAAATGTTGATATGAAGCCAAACGTTGATATTGTCGAATTAAGTATTACACAATGGCTGGCAGTTCATTGAAAGTTTAATTATTGTAAATTCAATTTAATTCACAAACCACAACACCCCTGTTTATTTTACATTACATTATGATGTTTTCAAAAATAATTACTGCTCAATTTCTCAATCTGTTGGTAGTTATAAACCCTCATCAAGTTGATTGCTATTGGTTATTACTTGTACACCTTGCTTAAACTAATGCATGAGTTGTTGATCAACTGTATATTTTAAATGTGCACGCATATGCACGCATATACAGTAAGGACCACATAGTCACTGTTGGACATTCAAACAGTGACTCCTGCTGTGCGAGTGTGCCTTGTGTCTTCTGCCTGAATAGAAGACACAAGACACAGAGACCTTAGGGAATCTGACCCTGTGTACGCAATGTTATCATTACTGACATGTGGTGTGTATGTAAGTGTGTGTGTGCGCTAAGACTGTGGACTATTCTCGTCTCTGTCCTTACACAGGAGGATCCATTCAAAGTGAAGCCATCTGTGTTCAACAGCCAGCCTCAGGAGCTCCACACTGACCCCTTCCACTCTGAAGACCCCTTCAAAACAGACCCCTTCAAAGGTTAGCATCGCCCTCTACTTTAATTCCACTCATCTTCTCTCACTCCTCCTCTATCATAGAGCTCGACAGTGATCTTATTCATTATTTGATTGTTAGCAATAATGTAGAACACAGTGTTTCCCACAGATCTGAAATATACTTGGGCGGGTGGTGGCAGCGGGGGGGGAGAGAAACAAAAAAAAGTTTTAACAACATGTTTATTTATGGACTTTTCATTCCTGTATAATCATTTTGCGCAAAGATGGCACTGTTTGTCAGAGCACTTCATCCTTCTGGGATTTCATGAAGAACAGCTCCAACGCCTGTGTGTATGGGAACACCTCTGGTGCTGGTCCATTAACTGCCAGTGTTTCCCACAGATCTGAAATATACTTGGTGGTGGTAGTGGGGGGGGGGGGGTTGAGGTGACGTGCAACAACATTAACATTAACCTTTCTGTTGGTCGCTTGTTAGCAGACCCTTCACGCGATGGCAGAGCGAACAGGTACAGGTACAGGCAGGGTCCATAATGATAGCCCTATAGTTTAAATCTACTACCCACACATGAACATATGGAAATGGGTTACTATTTTAAAAAATAAATGTATTTAGGAACCTATCCATGTGATTTTTAGTGGGGGTCGACCTCAAATCCTCTAGGGGGTTCAGGGGCATGCCCCCCCGGTAAGATTTTATTTTGGAGTTAAATGCATCAATCTGGTGCATTTTGAGGGGAAAATAAAGAGACTAGATCTATGGAAACACCTATATTAAACAGAACTGTATACATTTCAATAATCATAAAATCATGGCCATAACCAATAACATACCATTTCCAATATGAAAAAAACACTGAAACTTGTTTATTAATTTATTTTTGGTTCATTTATAGTTGTGAGTGTGTCTGTGCTCCTGAATCAGCCTCTCCTGTCTCCCTCCTCTCCCCCCTCTCCATCCTCTCCCCCTGCTCCTCTTTGAGGCAGCAGCAAAGACTAGTTTTCTCTCAACAAGTTTTAAAAGTGTATCTTGCCTTTTTTCACCTAGTTAACTTTTTATTTATTTATTCATGCATATTTTACTAATCACATTTCATTTCATTTAGCTGACGCTTTTATCCAAAGCGACTTATAATGACCGATTACAGGGACATCCTCCCTGGAGTAACTAAGGGCTAAGTGCCTTATTCAAGGGCACACTAGTGGTGGTGTTCCTGGCGGGATTTGAACTCACAGCCTTCCGATCTTCAGCCCACCTCACTATCCATTAGACCAATCACTACCCTCTCAAATGGAAATATATGTTTACATAAATGGTGACCACACCGTTTGAGACCCACTGAGAACTTAGACTAAGTTAACTATCTAAACACTCAGAGAGTCCTTTACCTCACCTGAGCTGAGGTTATCCCGAGCTTGAATGACACACAGAGACCAATCAAGGGCTTTGATTTATGATCTGTATGACAGTGGCCATGTCGTATTGATGCTTCAACTGAGATGTGTGAAAAATTCCTCTGCTATTTTATAGACAAGATCTCCACTATTAGAGCCAGTATCTCACCACCCTCTTTTGACCCCTCCATTGACTTCACATGCACTGCTGTCTTCCAGCAGTTTGGACCTGTGTCGTTGTCATCTCTCAGTGACATTGTTGCTAAATTAAAACCCTCATCTTGTCCCACAGACAACCCTCCTCGACTTTTTAAAGAGGTATGGGACACTATTGGACCTAATGTCCATAACATTATAAATGGCAGCCTAGAGTCCGGTTCTGTGCCAGTTTATTTCAAACAAGCAGTTGTGGCACCCCTGATAAAGAAAACTAATCTGGACACTTCTGTCTTCTCAAATTACAGACCCATCTCGAAGCTTCCTTTTATTTCAAAGATATTGGAGAAAACCGTACTCTTACAGCTGCAGTCTTTTATACATGCACACAATATTTTTGATATTTTTCAATTCGGTTTTAAAGCGCTTCACAGTACTGAGTCTGCCCTTCTAAGAGTATTCAATGACCTCCTGGTCACTACAGACTCTGGTGACTCTGCCATCCTTATGCTCTTAGACCTCACAGCTGCTTTTGATACGATTGACCACTCCATCCTTATCTCTCGTCTAGAGCACTGTGTGGGTATCAGGGACACTGCCTTAGAATGCCCCTGGTTGACTGTCTTAATGACATAAAGGCCTGGATGGCGCTAAACTTTTTAAATATAAATGAGAGCAAAACGGAGGTAATTGTGTTTGGACCAAATGGTGATGTCCCTTCCATTGACCTGGGTTCCCTGCACAGTTTGCAAAACCCATGGTCACAAATCTGGGTGTCAAAATCGACAGTGCTTTTAAATTAGATAAACAGATAAACTCTGTGGTTAAATCCAGTTTTTATCACTTGAGGCTCCTGTCCAAAATTAAACCGGTTTTATCCTTTTTAAACTTTGAGCGTGTAATTCATGCCTTTGTTTCAACTCGTTTAGATTATTGTAATGCACTTTATGCCGGCCTAAATAAGATTTCGCTGGCCCGCCTGCAGCTGGTACAAAACGCTGCGGCGCGCCTGCTTACAGGAACCCGCAAGTTTGACCACATCACACCAGTTCTGGCTTCCCTCCACTGGCTTCCTGTCCATTTTAGAGTCCATTTTAAGATTTTATTGTTTGTTTTTAAATCTCTTAATGGGCTGGCCCCAGAGTACATCTCCGACCTCTTACAGGTGTACACCCCCTCAAGGGCTTTGAGGTCGGCTGATCAGCTGCTGCTTGTAGTCCCAAAAACAAAACAAAAGACCAGGGGAGACCGAGCGTTCTCATCGGTAGCCCCCAGGCTCTGGAACGACCTGCCCCCTCAGGTTAAATTGTCGCCCACTCTTGAAGCTTTTAAGTCCCGCCTAAAAACCCACCTCTTTTCCCTCGCTTACCAGTCAGTCTGAGCTATGTCTTACCTATTTGTATGCTTTTACTGTCTGTCCATAGCCTTTATGTGCCTTGTATTTATTCTTATGTGTGCTTTTTTATCTTTTCTTATGTGTGCTTTTGATCTATTCGTGTAATATTATATTTTATTATAATGTTATGTTCATTGTGAAGCACTTTGGCAAACCCTCTGTTTTTAAACTGTGCTATATAAATAAAGTGGATTGGATTGGATTGGCAGGCCACATCATGTGGACAGCCAGTCACCCTGTGTGAGGTAGGCCACTTAACAGGCCAGAAGGAGGCGAGATCACAGCAAGGGAGCGAGGGATCATTGTCCACAAGTTAATCGATCGCAGATGGCGTCGTGGTCACGGACGAATACAAAAAAAAAATTATAAAAAAATAAAAAAACCTAAATGGGTCGCGAAATATACTTGGGCGGCCGTTAATATACCTGGGCGGCCCGCCCAAGTATAGTCTATGTGTGGGAAACCCTGGAACATATCAACAGTGTCGTCTCGATGTTCATGGGTTTCATCCCAGACCAATATGGCGGCTCTTTTTGAAACTGTCTTTATACGAAGATATTTCTGAAAACATTTAAGGCAGAAAATAATCTAAGCAATTCTGATTCTGTCTTGATTTAGACCGAGAATGGTTATTTTGGAAGTTTTCAGAGGCCACAAGTTGACATTTACAAGGAATGATGGGATAGGTAGTTGCTTCACTGGTGAATAATGATGTTTTTTTGTCACAGTTCACTGTTGTGCTCTAGTCATTGTCCCTGCCGCTCCTTCTGCCTCTTGTTCTTATCTGATTATGTTTGTACTGCCGTTTATCTTTTCTCTTTCCTCCAGGTTCCTTCTAGTTTTTTGACCTTGAGTTGCTTTCTGACTGTGTCTTTGTTTTCCGCCTGCTCTTCGCTTTCTCCTGTAGGGGACCCTTTCCAAAATGACCCTTTTGCAAAGCAGCCATCGACTGTCACAGGTATTGCCTTAAGACTCAGATTTTGATATAGTTCAATTCACAAGAAAATCTGTCCCTCTTAATGGAATTGTTGAACTATAACAATACACCTATACACACCTCCTTGAACTGCATGTACAATTTAAGCATTTCAAGAATCAATATTTGGTGTAAAATATTATTAGTCTGGTGCATCTACACTGAACAAAAATATAAATGCAACACTTTTGTTTTTGCTCCCATTTTTCATGAGATGAACTCAAAGATCTAAAACATTTTCTATAAACACAAAATAACCATTTCTCTCAAATATTGTTCACAAATCTGAGAAAATCTGTGATAGTGAGCACTTCTCCTTTGCCGAGATAATCCATCCCACCTCACAGGTGTGGCATATCAAGATGCTGATTAGACAGCATGATTATTGCACAGGTGTGCCTTTAGGCTGGCCACAATAAAAGGCCACTCTGAAACGTGCAGTTTTGCTTTATTGGGGGGGTCTGGGGGGGTCCGAAAACCAGTCAGTATCTGGTGTGACCACCATTTGCCTCACGCAGTGCAACACATCTCCTTCGCATAGAGTTGATCAGGTTGTTGATTGTGGCCTGTGGAATGTTGGTCCACTCCTCTTCAATGGCTGTGCCAAGTTGCTGGATATTGGCAGGAACTGGAACACGCTGTCGTATACGCCGATCCAGAGCATCCAAAACATGCTCAATGGGTGACATGTCCGGTGAGTATGCTGGCCATGCAAGAACTGGGATGTTTTCAGCCTCCAGGAATTGTGTACAGATCCTTGCAACATGGGGCCGTGCATTATCATGCTGCAACATGAGGTGATGGTCGTGGATGAATGGCACAACAATGGGCCTCAGGATCTCGTCACGGTATCTCTGTGCATTCACAATGCCATCAATAAAATGCACCTGTGTTCGTCGTCCATAACATACGCCTGCCCATACCATAACCCCACCACCACCATGGGCCACTCGATTCACAACATTGACATCAGAAAACCGCTCACCCACACGACGCCACACACGCTGTCTGCCATCTGCCCTGAACAGTGAAAACCGGGATTCATCCGTGAAGAGAACACCTCTCCAACGTGCCAGACGCCATCGAATGTGAGCAGCCATTTGCCCACTCAAGTCGGTTACGACGACGAACCGGAGTCAGGTCGAGACCCCGATGAGGACGACGAGCATGCAGATGAGCTTCCCTGAGACGGTTTCTGACAGTTTGTGCAGAAATTCTTTGGTTATGCAAACCGATTGTTGCAGCAGCTGTCCGAGTGGCTGGTCTCAGACGATCTTGGAGGTGAACATGCTGGATGTGGTGGTCCTGGGCTGGTGTGGTTACACGTGGTCTGCGGTTGTGAGGCCGGTTAGATGTACTGCCAAATTCTCTGAAACGCCTTTGGAGACGGCTTACGGTAGAGAAATGAACATTCAATTCACGGGCAACAGCTCTGGTGGACATTCCTGCTGTCAGCATGCCAATTGCACGCTCCCTCAAAACTTGCGACATCTGTGGCATTGTGCTGTGTGATAAAACTGAACATTTTAGAGTGGCCTTTTATTGTGGCCAGCCTAAGGCACACCTGTGCAATAATCATGCTGTCTAATCAGCATCTTGATATGCCACACCTGTGAGGTGGGATGGATTATCTCGGCAAAGGAGAAGTGCTCACTATCACAGATTTTTTCAGATTTGTGAACAATATTTGAGAGAAATGGTTATTTTGTGTTTATAGAAAATGTTTTAGATCTTTGAGTTCATCTCATGAAGAATGGGAGCAATAACAAAAGTGTTGCATTTATATTTTTGTTCAATGTACATAAGTCCCCCCATCAGATACCCTCAATGTATTATTATCTAAATATCAATGTGGTTGCTAAAATATGGCTCATAAAGCCCTTTGAGTTTTTCATTTATAGCTCACATGATTGTAATTGTGTATAGAATAAAAGTCATTCATACACATCATATATCCTATGTATTATTATATATACATAACCAGTATGATTCCCTGGTGAATGGTGTCTTAACCCTCAAATGAAACTCATACACGTCCTGCCTGTGCTTTTGGTGGCAGCCTTGTGTTTGTAGCTGTGCCCCTACATATGTGAAACAGCCGTATGTGTTTCTGTGACCTCTGTCACACTTCCCTCTTCTGCGATATTGTGAGGTTTCACTTCTCTGTGAGGTAGATGAAGATCAGTAATAGATCTCACAATTTTCCCACACATATTTATATAATGTTGTTAATCGTTTAGTGTGACGCCTAACCCAAAGCATGTAACAGAGATAATAGAACAATTCTGTCTAACCGCATTTGAATGTGACGCTGGATGTGGGGCCTGGGTTTATTGCCTATCTGGTATCATAATCAAACTGAAAGGCTAACACGCTAACGTTTTGGGGAATTTGAAATGGCTGAACAATTGAAAAGTTAAAGTTATCCATCATTTCTGCTGCAGATCCTTTTGGAGGAGACCCGTTCAAAGAGACTGATCCGTTCAAGTCTTCGTCTGAAGATTTCTTTAAGAAGACCACAAAGATGGATCCCTTCTCCACACCAGACCCCTTCAGTAAAAGTGCCACATTACCTTCCAAGGTACTTGTTTAAGACCAAAAGCAAGAAACATGGAATTAACTTATGATCATTAAATAAAATCCCCTTTTTTAAATAAAATCAAGACTTTTTTATGAGTTTTCTTTACAATATTCAATACTTTGAAAATATAAATGCTTTCACTTTTGTTTTGCTTGCAGCAGCCAACCAGTCACTTCACAAGCAATGACCCATTCTCTTCAGGCAACCCAAAACCCAAAGTACCAGGTACGGTTTATTTGAATTTCCAACATCTGCAGTTTCTGTGAACTTAATGTATTTATTTTGAATTAAAATGAATGGAATCTCTGTCTTTGTGCCAAATATTGCCATAAATAGTCTCAATCAGTTGTACTATCCTCTTACTGTCTGTCATTGCTTCAGTTGTTTTTGTGATGGCATACCACTCATGAATGTATATATATCTCTGCAGCTCTTTCAGTCAGTTGTTAGTTCACTCCAGCAGAAGAAAATGATTTTAATTGCCTTCATGATATTAATATAGCCCATACAAACACGTACACATTGTGGATTAGCTTGAATGCCTTGGAGGTTGGAGGAACTTGAGCCTGTCACCACACTGAGGTCATGTTGACGCAGGCTGAGGTCACCATGGTGGCTTGCCTATTCAAACCATGGCAGCTGAGGATAGCCGTCACATTAGCTTATTCATTTCCATACTCAGATTGTTGATTGTATTTCAAAAACACTGGCTCAAGTTAGGCCTGGCGTTTATGACCACGAACCTAAATGTTCTTTACCTGAAGGGCCCTTTCACATTTATGAAACCAATATCCTTATGTATCATTTATCATTTTGTACAATATGTAGGCTGGCCTGAAGCTGCTTTGGACAACTGTCATAAAAATGGATGAGTGTTCAACTCTAAGATCCTGTCATCATAGCCCTATGCAAAAATGTTCTTACAACTAATAATTGGAAACAAAAGTATATCCTGAAGCAATGGAATAATTCTAACACCACATTTATGCTCACTATGGCAATGCTAGCAAACTTAGCATTGACCAGCTTTAATGTTTACAATGTTCACCTTCTTGTTTATGTCTGTTCCGATGCTAACATCGCTAATTGTCATTGCTAATTCTTGTGTGTGTCGGTAATCTATTCTATAATTTATCGAGACATGTTTCCCCATAACTATAGATCTAAACCCCATGATGTCCTTGGAAGAAAAGTCAAGGGATGGTCAAAGTTAGTACATGTATTGACTGGGCAGCATTTATGTGTGTACAAAATGTTCAATCCAGCAATGGATGTTTCAGTCTGGTCCGACATAGCAGACTGACTGTAATCAATTTAATAGACTAGCTGTAAATATGCTTACTGATATCATATTTGTCTTCAGATCTGTTTGGCACGTTGGACCCGTTTGGCAGCGGTTCGTTCAGCAGCAGCAGTAACAGCTCGGCTGGCTTCGCAGACTTCAGCCTCATGTCGAAGCCCAGAGAGCCTTTTGAGGGCCGGGCCGGCTGGCTGCCGGACTACCAGAAGGTACCAGAGACATGCTTATTCTTTCTTTGGTGGTCTTCATCAATGCTCTTACATTTTTTACTTTGCATTACTTAATACAAATGTTTGAATCATAAAAAGGAAAAATCATATGAGAAAAGTTTTAGAATTGATTAAAACATTATCTTTTTCATCAGTTAATGTTTCTGTATAGAGTCCATTGTTGGTAAATGTATTTTGTGTAATCAAGAGATTGTGAACGATTATATTTATTTAACAAAAAGTGACACTAAGTGTGTACAAAGTGTCCAAGTCCAGATGTTCCCATTTTCCTCCATCTCTTAAAACGCAGCATGGTGAATCAGTGTGGCGTTCGAAGGAGCTGGACTCATCACAATAGTTTCAAGAATAAAGAAGGAGAATCATTTCCTCTATTTAGAAACGGCTTCTGTTGTAGCTGTTTCTATCAGTTTGCTATTAGCTGAGCTAGCATGTGTGCTTGTGTAAATATAGCAGCCGTGTGTGAGACACTTTGAACTATTCCTTTTCTTCATGTGAAAGGATACAGTATTGGATTATTACTGGTGAAGGTTTTATTGCACTTTCAACCTCACCTGGCTCAACTCCCTGTTGCTCACTTCACTCTTTCATGCACATTTTAATAAATAGAAATGACAGCTATTTTGAATAGAACCACATATCCTCTCTATGACTCTTTCCAGTCCGTGTTTGTGGATGATCCATTCAGCAGGAAGAGTGACACACCAGCTCTGCCACCGAAGAAAAGTGTCCCCCCAAGGCCCAAACCCCCCAGTGGTGAGTGTGATAACTTTTTTTAAATTATAGGGTGTTGTAGTTATTGGGACTCATTACCTTAAACATCTCTCAGAGAACTCCACTATGATAATTTGACCGTGTTAGAAAGATGAACGATGAAGAAGCGTCTTTGAATACATACATGATCTGTCCCAGGCTAGTACAACAAAGGTCAGCTTAAGAAGGAAGTGGGACTTTATCTAAACACCGATTAAGCTTGATGGTTTAATGTGATAACCACATCTCCACCATGGTGTGTCTTACATTCATGGTAGATTGAGAGCTTGGCTTCAGCCAATTCCATTGTCCATTCAATCAAGATCAAGACACTGACATTACCAACAAGGCCCAACAAGCCCAACTTGTTAAAGACAGTCTTTTTAGTGCAACAGACTCCGAGGCTTCTGAGGACTACCCGACTCACAGTGTTCAGATCACCAGAGATCAAAGCTCTCAGGAACTGGCAGGAGGGGAAATGGCTTCTTTGTTGTAAGTTTCAATTAAAAATAGAAGGTTAGACTGTTTGGTACAAATGGAGGGAAGACTCCAGAAGAACTTTGTGCAAGACATCCCAAAAAGCTTAGGGTCTTAAATATGCTTCTGCATGTGCAAAGTCATGTATTGCTGTTCCTTCCTGTGTGTGTTTGTGGTTGGGGTCTGTAGGCTTGTTTGTAATGCTTTTCCTTCATATTCTTCTATATGCCACCTTTTGCTGCATTTATTTTAATGTAAAGCACTTTAAATTTGCTATAAAAATAGGACCTCCTGCTCTGAACAATGTGCAGATATTTCCTGCTGACCTTTTTGACTTGATGTGTCAACATGTCAGTCAAATAAACTTCACCTGAATGTACAGGAAATAAACTATTTTCAGTTCCCGGAAATCACAGGAACTCTTAGGATGTAGTTGAGATTATAGAAGTCTGCTTGACATCGATGCATCCGTTACTGGAACATGAACCCAAACATGTGAGATTATTATGATTTAGATACTGTCCATCACTAACATGATCTTCCAATTCCATACTGCACCCTTAACTTATAACGCAGTGCAGTTTGTAAACCGTTGGACAATAGTGTACCCTAAAACACAAGTGTAAACATGCTACACTGAAACTCAGCCTAAAAATAAAATATAAGTAGTTGTAGTAGAATTTGGACAACACTGTACAAGGATTCTCTCACTTCCTACTTTATGCCCATAACACATGAGACGCATGGTGTCGCAGATATTGAAAATGAATAGTGATAGATAATTAAAGATATGTTGGAGGAAAATGACAGAAAAGTAGCTTGGGGGATGGCACAACACTGTCCCGTGGGAATCAATGTTGATAATGTGAATCACGATTACCCAGAATACCCCTCTGTGTTCAGCCTCAACTGTGGCCACACTTGGTGCTATTACACTACCCTGCATGCTTGCTGACTCAGGGGTTGTAGAATGGTACTAAAGAGACATGTGTTACAGTTTAGTATTTGTTTTAAGAAGAGGCAACAGACAGCTTCATCTCCACTGTTAACTCTGCAACCACTAATGCAAACATTCACGTTATTGCTTTTCAATATTTCATTGATATTTTCTATTAGGATTGTTAACACAGCGCAGTTCTGATGTTTGTGCACACGAAGGCATAAGAGAGATGATCTGTGGTTAGCTTGGCTTGTTGTTTGCAGACACACCCTAACCTACTTCCCCTCTCTTTGTGTGTGTGTGTGTGTGTGTGTGTGTGTGTGTGTGTGTGTGTGTGTGTGTGTGTGTGTGTGGTGTGTGTGTGTGTGTGTGTGTGTGTGTGTGTGTGTGTGTGTGGTGTGTGTGTGTGTGTGTGTGTGTGTGTGTGTGTGTGTGTGTGTGTGTGGTGTGTGTGTGTGTGGTGTGTGTGTGTGTGTGTGTGTGTGTGTGTGTGTGTGTGTGGTGTGTGTGTGTGTGTGTGTGTGTGTGTGTGTGTGTGTGTGGTGTGTGTGTGTGTGTGTGTGTGTGTGTGTGTGTGTGTGTTAGACTTTAAAATCAGATGACACTAATGTAGTGGGTTATTTTAAAATCGGGTGGAGCCCATGGTTGTGGTTTCTCGTGTGTGCAGTTTACTGAAAGAGGAAAGAAATGATTGGCAGGCATTGAGCTTTGCTCAGCATGGTGTGAACTGAACAGCTGACCCCGAACAGCCCAGTTATCTTGATAATAGAGCCAAACACGTGTGTGAACACTTTGACTGCTTCTGTGGTTTAACACCCATAAAAGCAACATGGTGCACTTTTTTATGTTCCCACGGCCCTCTGCCATGCACAGCAGAAACTGCCATTACTATAATTATTGTTGCTAAATTATTTCTTATTTGTAGACTCCCTGTGGTTCTTCAGCATGTTTGATGAACAAGAATTAATTTGTATAGCATATAAGTGTTTCAAGTATACTGGTGTAAATTCAAGGGCCTCTATAAGAAGCTTTTAAGACATTAAAAAGATCTTAAAGTGTGACAAATTAATTTCAGGTCAAGAAAAATGCTACTGATTAGACCTTTTATTTCATTCTTTTTATTCTATATCTTCATTGAATAAGGACCATGCATAGAACACATTCATCTCAGAAAGAGAAGAAAAAAAAGCTATATGCCACATTTTTGCTAGTGGCTAAATTCTACGAAAGTATTAATATTTCACTGATCGCAAGGGCTAACATAGCACCATTACAAGATGTACAGATATGTATTTTATTATTTACCACTTGACTCAGAAAAAGCACAGAAAATTTATACACAGAAGTTTCATCATCATTTATTTGTAATACTAATTTATGCACAAGCTATTCTTCAATAAAACATATCAACATTTTTGGCCCTGTCAGGATTTTTCTTGTTTTGTATAATTCTCTGTGTTAAGTGTTAGTCAAACCAAACAAGTTGCCACTGTGGGGTATTCTGATGGTCTTTTATCACTACAGCTGTATCTTGTTTTTCTTTTTAATATAGAAAATATATATTTGATATGGTTTCATTAATCACCAAAATATCAAAAGATAGTGAAATGACCTTTTAATTGCAGGGCGATATTATATGTCCATAAGTCCTGACTTTGTCAATGTATGTGTAAAATATGGTATTGAGTTATCCTTGAGGACAATGAATGTGTGTGGTCTTTGAACATGAACATGTTATTTGTGTAGTTGGTACTTTGGTGAACCAACAGTTTGTAATGTGGGCAGAAACCCAACCGAGAGTCTTACCAGGAAACCGTTGAGCATGGTTGCGTGGGTAACGGGTTATCACGTTTGTTTTTGTCCTCGGGTGTTGTCTTTCACTCAGTTTTTTCCCATACCAGCGGAGGATGTAGCACTGTATGGGGTAACTTGCAGAAAGATTTGTATTGGCACTTGCTATGAACTGCTGTGGTGTGGAGGTGAAACTCGCACAACTTTCAGAGCTGGTAGCTATCTCTGAGGTGACAGCGGAGTTATTGCAGGGCGTGGGCAGACCCATGAGAACTACATCATTTAGTTTTGTGAGTTTCAATCCTGAATGATCAAATCAGATCCTGTGTTATCAACATAGATCACTCAGAGAATTTCCCATGCAATCTGCAGTGAACTTCTTCCCCCTGAGATACGTGAGACCTGAAGCCTTTGACAGGTCTGCTTTAGTGTTTTTCTTTGCAGCTCTCTTGTCTTCCTCACCACACTGCAGATATGTATTTGCAATCAGAGAACTATCTTTTTCGGTTTTTACTTATTCCCTTTTTGTATGCCTCTTCGCAGGCGACTGCCATGACCGAGGCTTTATGTGTTGGATTAATATATATGAATTTGGATAACAAAGATCATTATCTCTGACCTCACAAAACACGTTTTTGGTGAAAAAACAAATGTCAAATTAATCACATTTATTATAGCGCTTTATCAATGACTCAAAGCGCTTTACATATACACACATTACACATATATCATACATGCAATGGTCAGATACTGTGGACAATACCCACAGGAGCAAGTTCAGGTGAAGTGTCTTGCCCAAGGACACACCGGCTTTACAGACGCAGCGGCGGTGGGTTTCACCCCTTGATCTCACAGCGCACTGCGCCACACCGTCCATCTTCACGCCTCGAGGTCATCGAGGCGCTTTTACAAGTACACATTGGTATTATACATGTACTGTGGACAATACCCACAGGAGCAAATCCGGGTGAAGTGTCTTGCCCAAGGACACAACGGCCCTGACGCAGTGGCGGCAGGAGCGGGTTTCGAACTGGAGTTCCCCAGCACTCACCCTTGATCTGATGATCGGATGCACAGACCACTGCACCACCCGTCCCAAGTAATGACTTTGATGTGTAAAGGGAACTGGAATCAGAGAAGCTTCTCATTCCTATGAAAGTTGCTCAGTGGCGCATAAAGCCAAATGGCCTGACTCGAGGAAAGAATTGTGGATTACAGGGCAGTTGGACTCATAGAGCACGAGCACTTGCGGTTTCCTTAAGCCCCGCCTCTCGACAAGTCAAATGAAAGGAGAGGAGAAAAAACCCGGAATTTGGCTTTTAGTGAATTTTGCTACTTTCAAGACGTAATCATTCCAATGGGGACTATTACAGTGTTCGTACTGGGTATTCGATTGAGCTGAAAACGTCACAGACTGACATGGGAACTGTAGTACCAGCGTTTGGCCACTATGCAAATGTGCTTCAATGCCCGGCACACTTCCTGGGGGTTTAACGTAAACTGCAACTTGAGTTGTTGGCGGAAGCATACAAATTCTGGTTATTATAGTTAAAGCCTTAGCATTTAAGAGTTTTCATCAACGCTGTTGTATATGCCCGTTTTTAACTCTGAAAGCATGTGTGGGGATGATGGACACATATAGAACCGTGCCTATCTGAAATCTCTCTGCTCTCTTTTTGATTGTATTGATGATTGTCCTTCTTGTCTTCAGGTAAAAGTACTCCAGTGAGCACGCCTGGAGCAGTTGACCCTTCCAAACCATGTGACCCTTTCCAGCCATTTGGCAGTGACGCCATCGACCCGTTTCAGACGAAAAAGGGCGTGGGAGACCCGTTCAGCGGCAAAGACCCTTTCGCCGCACCCTCGGCAACAAGTAATGTCCCAAAAGGCTCAACATCAGGTTTTGCAGACTCCAGTTGTGTAAGTTGAGATGGTTGATGCAGTTTAACTGTCACTGAGTAGACATGGCCACACAGCTATGCACAGACACAAGACCATTTTATAGTCTGACACTGTAGGGACTTTAACATGCTCCAAAAGACTTGTGAGGATGGTTTAAACAGAGCTCTATAAAGGTAGTGCATTCTGGCTGAATGGTGCTACTCAGATGAATCTGAGACGGCAGTATCCCCTCTCAACTGTCAGCTCTGGAGTCTGTCTGCCTTGCGTTATGTTACTAAATTCACCATCTGTGTTGCTAGGTGTTTACTTCATGAACTCTGATGTCACTTCTCGATATGCACGTCTTATTATGTTAGAGAAGTTTGGCTTTTTATCACCTCTTAAGCATACTTCTATATATTTGCCTGATATCAGCGCAGGCATCTGCTTCACCATCTGATACAAACTGACTAAGCTGAACTAAATCATTATTTATGTTAAATAAAAAATCATAATCCCTTTGCCCCCAAGAAAAACATGTAAGTACACACAGAGACAGAGAAACTGTGCAGGAATCCCTTCACAATCTTGGTGTGTTGTGCTCTGAATTCTAATACATAATGTCTGTAATCCACTTCTCTGACAGGACCTGACAAAGCCAAGGTAAGAGACTGGACACACAATACAATGTACTTAAACATGATGATAATTAATATAATCTACACATAATCTAAAGAGCAGTACGTGATATTATGGATGTTATCATGTGTTGCTGAAAAAGGAAATTACATTTTTATGTCTCCATCATCCATATATTTCACTTTCAGAAATAGGAGGACAGTCTTTCTATCTTTGTTCCTTTGTTGTATGCTAGGTAGCTTTCTCTGAGTTGTTGTTAGCCAACGCCCTGCCTGGTTAGCTGTTTTCACAAATTTATATTTCTTATTTTAAGGTTTGTCTCGTTTTCAAACGGTTTGTCTTCCTGTGTGTAGTTTGGGAACGAGGCTCAGCAGTTGGAGTGGGCGAAGCGAGAGAGTGAGCGGGCAGAGCGAGAGCGGCTGAAGAGGCTCAGGCTGCAGGAGCAGGAGGACTTGGAGCTGGCCATCGCCCTCAGCAAGGCCGAGATGTCCAATGCATGACCTGGGAATCCCCCCAAACCCCCCCCCCCCCACACACATAGCGAAGAGACATGCAGACAAACATGACCGACATTGAAATACTCAGACACAAAGCACATCACCGGTATAACTCAAGTTCATACAAACTCTGATCCACACACACACACACACACACACACACACACACACACACACACACACACACACACACACACACACACACACACACACACACACACACACACACACACACACACAGGTCCTGCATCTCCACTAGTTACATTCCCCCATGCGCAATTACTCAACAAATTAAACAGAGAATTTAAAGGCCGTTGACATTTAAAAACCAAGACAACAAAACTGAGGGCCGACAACTCCATATATATGCCGTGAAGAGACAAAGGAAGAAGAAAGAGAGGAGGAAGAGGAAGGTGTGGCCTGAAGGAGACACACGGATGCACTGTGTTTATGCACTATAGTGGCTGGATCCAGGCTGAGCACCTCGACTGTTTGAATTCCACGTGTTGTTTTCCAGCTCCACTCACATGCTAACAACGCTGCTAGCAACGAGCAGCTGTGACGAAAATAATAGTTGAATTCAAACGGCCCAGGTATTTCTTCAAAGGGATTTTTTGTACTGATATATATATAAGGGCCGACATGGATATATCACACACTACTGATGGTATTACCTGTGTCCGTAAGTGTTTTGCTGGTAGGAAAATGCTACATGATGAGGCGTTGCTTAAGTATTTGTTTATAGAGAAGACTGGATTTATCGCTCCTCAGAGATTCTCAAATCTCTATTCTCCAATTTTCTTTCTCAGGAAATGTTGTCACAAACCCATACTCAGTGAAGAGATGAAAAAGTCGATACTGGTTGAGTTTTTTCACTCCTCCATTTTGACCTCCAGACAAGGTTGGATTAACATCAGGCTAAGCAGGCAGGTCCCTCAGGGCCCAAAGACTCCAGGTTCACTGTGTGGCACTTAGTTTGTGCTTTATTTATTTAATCACATATATGTTCAAGAATATGCCACACCCACTGAGGAACAAAATACACTCATGTGATTTCACAGCACTACTTTGATTTGTACCTCATTATGAGGTAATGTGCTGTAAAGGCACCCAAGTTACAATGGGTACTTCTTTATGTTTAGCCCCCTAAAACCCGATGATGTCACTATGATATTTTAAGGGTTCATTATTTATCAAATTTGAGAAGCTATTATGAAACTTGCCCTTAAAGGATACACTTGCCATGATGTGTAAAAATGTGTAATTAGGTAGGGTTGGGTCATATGTTAGATATTGGATATTGAAAAGTTGACTTCAATTAAATATATTATTTCAAAGATGACCTATAATGTATTATTTAAGTATAGCAATATCATTAAGTTGAAAGTCTTTTTTATTTAAACTTAATATTATTCCTTCCAACTAACCTAAGACAATGATATGTAAACTGTTGACATAATACATTTAATTAGGGTTAATGTTTAAAAAAATGTTGTAGTTTTTTTAAAGGCTGCATTACATTAAATAATTTAATTTCTGAATTTAGCAGACTAAGTAGCTCCTCTTCATTTGCATTTTCCAGCTTAGGCTTTTTATTTATTGAGTGTTAACATTTTTGGTCAACTCAAAGAAAAATATTGTCATATGTCAATATTAAGATAATTGTTCTAACATCACGTGATATATAATTTTACTCATATTGCTCAGCCTTTGTGTTAAGTCTTATTATTCCACATTGGTTTAACATAGTGCATATTCCAGAACATATTTGTGCTTAACCAAATAACCACCACCTAATATAATAACTATAAACTAATATAGACTATACATAAAGAACAAAAAAGTGGGCGGGTTAATGTGGCCCCGGGTCCAGTTCAGGTTCAATATATTTCACATTACGAAAGGAAAAACAACTGATAAAGATCAATCACTGGCTCCCTCTAATGTGACAAACACCTGACTTGTGAAAACAACTTTAGACGTCAGCATCCTTTGAGTGACAGCAACAAATTGTACAGATATATTTCCTTATCCATGAGTGTGAGGTTGTACCGTGTGTTTAGACAAACTGAGCTAACTCTGCCTCTCCTCCACAGCTGTGATGTCACACATTCAACTAATGACAGGCGAGATGAGGGAAATCGTTTTTCGACGTTTCTTTTCTTTTTATAGGAGGAGGATTTTAACCGTTTTTAGGAGCTGGCTTTTATTTGACATGTTTTTGTTTTAAAGGAACATCTTAAATGTCTATTGTAGTGCTCTACAGACAGTGAACAGAAGCTGGAGAGTGTTTGGAAAGGGTTGGAGTATCAGGTGTCGTAATGCTGGGAATTTGAAATATTGGAAAAGTGCTATTTCTTATGTGTCATCGTTTGATGTTTTTCTCATGGACTGAACCACTCGACCTGTTTTTCTATGAGTTGTCCCTTTTACTTGAAGTAGTGAGTGATGTTTGTTTCTGTTTGATTTCATGTGGACTTTAAAGCAGAGGTTATTTTCTGTTTCACTTTGAGCCCCTGTGTTTCTAATATCATGTTTAGAAATGCAATTCTGTATTGGTGTGTCATTCTCAATCATATGCTTCAGTCATGTTTTGCCTGCAGTCAAATTCTGACGATACTTTCTGAACATTACTTTTAGAGATGACTTTTGGAGTTTCTCTTTGCTTAGATATAGCATAGCCTGGTGACATTCATAATGTTCCTTATTGAGCCCAGGTTAAACCTATGGCCCTTTTCATCATATTTAAATACAGTGCTGGATGTCTTTTGATGGAATTGAAACACTTCTGTCTGATGTCAAATCAATGTGTTACGAGGAATGGAGGCATTTTTGAAACTCCCCTCAACAACTTTTAAGGTGGAAATGAAACAAATATTTTGTAAAATCTCAGGAAGTCTGCTCATTAATGGCAAAATACGACCATTTAAGCCCCCTGCCACCAGAGGCAGCAGTGAGCATAGTGCTTCTCAGTAATTATCCACTTAAGAATTCATCACAAAGGATGAAGATTGATTTTACTCTGTTTTTATTGACAACTTACTTCTTTCCCTTGCAGTTTATTTTATTGTTTGACCTATCTAAATTCTTTTATTTTACTTTAAATGTTGCTAATTGGTTCTGTCTGATCACCATCCAGCACTGTGACACAATATGATATTACTTTGGGCTAGGTCAAAATGCTAACAAGCTCATTTTGGGAGGAAACTCCAGAACAAAAAATAATAATTGGACAAGCATATTGTGATGAAAACGACTCAAATGGAAGTTTACTTTGTGTTGGTGCGGGGCTTTGCATTGACAATATGACCTCATTATTTACTGTTACATTTCTCCAGTCACCACACTGAACAATGGCATGAGACTGAAGTATCAAACTGTTGCTGTCCCCCAGATATTTTACATGTGTAGAGCTGCCTTTCTGGGGTTCAAAATGCTTCTAATGTGAATTCACAGAAAAGATGCCATGATGGAAATGTGAACTGCTTCTCCCATGTCATGTTTTTGTCCTGTTTACACATCATACATATTTAGTTTACTGTAGCTGTTACATCAGTGTTCCTGGTACATGGAGCTTCTCTAAGCTGTACACCTCCAGATTGACATCTTAAATATTTGCCTTGCTCTTGTCACACTGTGTTGAAGATGTTACGATACGATGTCAAACATCTTTCCACCTGTTCAGTCCTCATTGAAGCAAAGGTGCTAGTAGCGGGCAGCTAACAAATCTAGCTTGTTGTCTAGCTCTTCTGAGTAAATGTCCGTTGGTTATGTAACGTGCTGCTAGCTTGGTAGCTACATGTGTGGAATTGACTTTCTCTGAGAACAAATACTTTTAATGTGAATTCAGATCAAATGTAGCTAGCTACCAAGATAGCTTATTGTCAGTTCTCCATTTTCAGTTAACATGTTCACAACAACGTGACATGCACCTTGCACATCGAAAAGAACAAGACTTTTATTCTAAATGTCCCCTTAAAGTTGGTCTTAGTGTGTCTAGTCCTTATAGTCACATCGAGACATTTGAAGGCTCCAAAAACGACTGTTTCCAAGGTCATACATGATGTTAATCCCGCTCAGACCAAGTGCTGGACGGTCTGAAAAGTATTTACAAATGTAAAATAAGTAAAGTAAGTTACAATCTTATCACCAGAAATGTGAAGCCAGATAATGGTATGACAGTTCCCCCGTTTGCTGCTAAAGACAGATGAGTGGGTACCAAGACGTATAGATACCTGACCCCGTGCCCCCCCCCGGGTCCTGACCCCGGCTCGTCTGCAGTGTACTGCTTAGAGAGCTGAACTCCACACCGGTACCATCTTTTACTGTCATCCGTTACCTCCATTGTGCAATAGATAATGTTTATTTTTATTGTTGTTTTTGTATATCCTGTGAAACTTGTCTGATGTTTTTGATGTGTAGCGTATGTTTTTAATATGATTATTTATGCACCAGCAACACTCACTCCCAGCTCTGTAGAGCAAGGTCAATACACAAAAATAATAATTTTTAAGATTCATTTTATTTCTTTATAAATGGTGGATTTTTCTTTTTGGAATGAAACCTTTCAATCTCTCTTACTGACATACTGATGCGTTTGGGGGGAACCTGTTTGATTCTCCATTCACTTCAGTTTTCTTCTTTCTGAGGCTTGTTGGATTTTGTTTTCTTTGCCTTCAACTGCCCTTCCTCCCATGTAGGCAAACTACTTTAAGGCTGTCTTTATTAAGATGCATACGATGTGTATACAGTCTGTATAGTACCATGTCTGTTATATTTGTCCTGTAAAAAGTGAAGATGAAGAAGAAAAAGTAAACTTGATGAGGAACCATTTGGAAGAGCAAACAGATGCTGGTTTATTTTTGAACAGTGATCCCCTCTACATGGTCTGTGCTGTTTACTAGAATAAACATTTCAGTTAAAGGAGAACGGACTGCTGCTTGATTTGTGGGGCTCATCTTTAATAAGACAAGAAGGATTTTGAGTTGAGTGCTATTGTATTATAATACTGCACATCCATAACGTTTTGGAAGTGTCAAAAAGCTAATAAAAAAAGGAGAAAAAAGTATCAAGTCAGCCAAGGGTTAAATATCCTTTTAGTGTTGCTTAAAGTCTAAAAATGACTGAATCATACATTTCCCAAAATGCCACTATTTTATTTTGACAGAAAACAAGTTGATGATTTAACATTAAAAAATGTGAGCTTTGTTTTGTGATGCAAGAGACAGCTGTTGAGTTTAAAAAGTGTAAGTCTGTCTGCATGTGGCTCCATTTAGGGATGCAAATCACACGATCACCACGAGAATATGATATTTATCACAAAGCCTATCATTTTGATTCAGATCCTGCAATTGTAAAAACAACTTGAAAAGCAACACAAAAAAAAATGTCATAGTTTTGAGTTTTCTACAATGTTGTCTCTTCACCCCCTTGTTTGTACCACAGGCTTTCTGACATACAGCCCAAACTGAGATAAACCAGATGACATCACTCTGACATTTACAGGGTGAAAGACAATACATACTGTAACTGATTTCAGAGGGTGAGTATAGTAACAGTGACCAATTTTGTATACAATTGGTGTCACTTTTCACATCAAAAGGCCTATGTGGCAGTAAGAAGTAACGGTACAAAAAAAACCTTTAGGTGCTTTGGTTTCACGGGCTCCACCACTGTCCTGAAGAAAATAGCCATTATCAGAAACGCCTGTCCCCTTCTGTGTCAAGTAAAAATGTTACAATGGTTTGATGAAGGAATAGGAGAAGAAAACAATTCCTCAAAACTGTTGAAGGAAATGTTTAATACAACTGCATGTTGCAGCACAAAAATAGCAAAACCCAAAGAGTGTTCGGAGGAGTAACACATCAGTCAGGCTGTTTCCTATTTATGGTGGTGTGCCACAGTTGACCTCTTTTCTTTAGTAAAGTTTATACTCCCCACCCTGTATTTGCTTTCCAAGGAACACAGAGCGTTTGCTCTTTCTGCTCTGTGCAGTCCAACAGGTTTCCTACCTTCAGTCAGCCTTTTCCCTGCTCAGCACTTCCTTCTGGGACCTTACTTGATCTTGACCACATGATGATAGCTACGCTAAAAGAAAGTAGCACATTTAAAGGATAATTCCGGTTTATTGCAACTTGGGTCTTTTCTTCACAGTTTGTCATCATTTCTCTGAGTAATAATAACGTTGTTCTCACAAAGACAATATCTGAATACAGGGACATCAATATAAGGATGATTGACAGGTCAAGAAACACAAGCGAGATGATCAGAAGGTTGGAAACAAACCTCCAGATTAGCCAAGAATGATTTAAAAAGAGTAGACACGTTCATATTATACCCAGACAAAGCGTTGACCAATCACAAAGGCTGGATAAGCGGCCAGGCAAAACTAACAGCTCAGTCACAGCGCTCCAGGCGCCCCGGAAGCTCAGATTGTTCTTATTTAAATGAACGTCTGTTTGGGACTATGCATTACTGAACAACAATATCATCCAGGTGGATCACAGACTTCCTGCCTGACAGGAAACAGCACATGAAGCTCAGGAAACAATTATTAGACTCCCACACCATCAGAACTGGTTCCCAAGGCTTAATTCTGCGAAGAAACCCATGTGTAACTTGCCCTAAAATAGAGAGGTAGAATGTAAACTCTTACGTCATTAAAACCACCAACAAACCAGGAATAATTCTGAGAACATGACCAATGGTAGCCAAATGCATGCAATGTTACTGTGTTCCTATGTCTCAGCTTAAGCACATCATTTTTTTACCTGAAGAAAGTATATTCAAAGCAACAACAAAGGATCCCTCCTCTGTTGCTCTCCCTGAGGTTTCTCCCATTTTTCCCTTTAAACTGTGGGTTTTATTCGGAAGTTTTTCCTTGTACGATGTGAGGGTCTAAGGACAGAGGGTGTCGTATTGTCATACTGATATTCTGTACAAACTGTGAAGACCACTGAGACAAATGTAACATTTGTGATATTGGGCTATATAAATAAACATTGATTGATTGAACATACCAATGCACTTTGTAAAAAAACTGAAATAACCTTCAAATTAGCAAACATTCTATGACTTTAACATATAACAAGACAAGCTGTTTCTCTGACGCTGACAAGGCCTTCCAAAGAGCTTAGACAACCTGCAGTAATAACTCCAGCCCCAGCCCCATGTGCAGTGAATTACACTCAGCTACATTTCATGGACACAGCTGTGTAGTGTGAAATGAATGCTGTGCAAACACAGCGGCCATTTCTGGACATATTAGCTGAAACCTAAGCAATCTGCTATGTTAGCGAATGCTAACTGTCTCCGTATGGAATAACAGGAAATTCCTTGCTAGGTTTGTGTTTACCCTATGGTAATGGAGAAGAGGAAATGAAAAGCCTATTGGCTTTTAACTAGGAATGTGGGTCACAGAGAATTGCAGGATAAATGTTGGTTTGCCCTCACAATAGTTCTGTATCTCTCTTTCTCTCTCCTCTAATCAATGTTATTTCCCTTTCACCTTCACTGCTACATTTTCCTACTTCACCATTTTCAACCTCTAAAAACATGCGTGCTTTGTGTAGGGCGTATTCGTTTTTTGGATTCAGAAGCCATTGCTAATATCCAGAGGATGTTATTTGAAAGAACTACTCCATACATTTGCATAAAATAAATGAAATTTCAGAGATGTTGACCATGACCGCAGTATTTCTAAAATGCTGGCTAGAATTCATGGTGTCTAAATCTTGTTCAAGCTAGCTGTAGAGAATTGAGCAACGTAGGGAGAGTTGTAGGCTACACAATAAAGCAAACCATCTATAACATTCAGCCAAGAGGTCATGTTGAGTTGTGGATACAGAAAACTACCTTGTATATGATTTAACAATAGATATGTATTTCTAAACACTAATTATAGCCTCCTTTTTTTGTTTTCAGTCATTGTGAGTATGTTAGCATTTGGACGTTAGCATTTAGCCTCACGCAGCAGCTAGGGTGATTCTTAGTCCTGCCTTTCGCTGCAAAGTATGTGAAAGACTGATAAGGCTGCCAGAACAGAAATCGGTCTTCCAAATAACAGATCTGTTTGAGATACAGGAAACATGCAAATTTGACTTTCAACATTTCATCCGTTTCATCCAGCACCTCGTTGGCCGGGAATCACACTGTTTTGTTCCAAGAGTGCAGATAAAAACCTTTCACGCAAGATTCAACCTTGGCTGCAAACTCATTTAATCATCATAATTGGCCCAAAAACTTGGTCTAAACCCATACACATACACAGGGTGATCTGAACCTGGTGCATAAGATCAGTTTATGACAGAATCAGAGGAGTATAGATGATCTGACGAACAGATGTAGAAATGAAGTAAAAATATATTCAGCCTTGAATCCCAGCTGAATCATTATTTCCACATGTCCTGATCTGCTCTCGCTCCAAATAAACTCATTTCTGGCGTTTAATATAATGTTTCTTGACAGGGGTCTGTGAAACTCCAATTGAATGCTACATTTTTTTTTAAACTAATGTGCATTGGAGTGACCTCAAAGGATTTCTGCCTCAATCAAAATACCCAGAAAATCACAAACCTTCATGTTAGATGATTGAAACACAATCTCGATTTTTATTATTGTCCAAGACTCTGCGAACCAACCACCTGGTCTGAAATAATAGCTAAATAAGCATTAAGGTGATTAAGATTCATGACCCAACTTTTTGAGGCAGCGCTTTGTTTCTGTATAGGATGCAATTGTTTTACATCTATACAATGAGTTGTCTAACAATAAACATGTATGTTATACAGCAGACAACCTTTTTAGCTTGCTTTTGCCATCACATTTGTAATGTATATTTTTGTTATAAAATGCATTTTAATATATACAATTATTTTTCCAATTCTAATGTTATATATATATAGTGATATATCTAACAAAGTAAGACTGGGTCTCCATTTAAGTGGGGTTAAAATGTCCAAATACATTACTTTGCATACTTTTATAATAATCTGTGTTCATAAAACTGCAAAAACAGAACATATCTTTCTCTCTTTCAATGTCATGTCTCTGTGTGCATTATTCCTCCATCCTCTCCATTTCTATGGGTCTATGTGGTACCTCACATAGACTGTATGGTCACTCATCTTCTTTTCACCCCAGACCCCTCCTAGACCCTGCCTAACCCCTGTAAAGAGAGTGAAATAAGTAGATGAAATTGAAAATTGTTTAATTGTAAGAAATTCCTTTAAACTGCCTAACTGAGAGATTGCTGTATTTGTGAGGAAGTGGTGTTTTCTGCGGTTCACAGTGATGCTACTTTCCCAGTAGATGGCATCCTCTTCCTAGAATATAATTCCCATAATTCCCACTTCTTTTCAGAGAGTGCTGAGCAATCTCTGGAAATCAATTCAGATAGGATTTGTTCAATGTTTAATGTTTGCTTACAGCTTCACTACATTTCTCTAATAAATGTTTTCACTATGTCCACTTCAAGTCTCCTTAATTCCAATTTGGTGATAGAATAAGCAGCCACAGTATCACTGAGCTCTGTGTTATTCTCATCATCATAGAATAATCAAGATAGGATTTCATCTATAAAACCTATGGAAGATCAGCTTGAGTCCTAAAATGCCTATCAGTTGGTTTCAAAAAGAGAACTTTGGAGTTCCTAAATCCTCTGTGGCCTTATGACCCCTCTAACAGGAACACCACGAGTCTCCTCCTCTCTGTTATCTGTTTTCCACACACTTGGCTCTATTAGTGTGTTGAGTTGGAGGGGAATATTCTTTGAAACACTCTGGAGGGGAGTTCCTCTGAGATATTCTGTTGCACAAGAGTGTGTAAGCATGTTTACAACAGGAGAGAAACTCCCTCTGGAGGGACATTTGGGATTTTAGCCTTTACAGACCATTTACATGCACAAAAACTTATATTACACACTACAGAAA